ACATATATCAACCACCTCTATGGTGTATACCTGTGTGCTTACCTATGATTTCTACCACTTCCTGGCTATCAACAACAAAATGCTATCATATATTTGATTTTTTATCAGATATTTGCTATTTATTTTAGACACAGAGTAGAAAAATGAGACAAATATTTTTCGTGTTTAGTTTATTTAGTTATTAATCGGTTATATTTATAGAGGCTTTTTAAATACTAATAATAATTATGACATTTGGGTTTGCCTATAATAATAATAATATAATTGTTTGATGTTTTTTATATATATATATTTATTTAATTTTATATATTAAATATATATAATCTGAAAAAACCTTTCGCTAACATTTAACAATGTCTGAAAACATGTGAAGTTAAATGTTTATAATCGGTATAATAATGTATAGTTAGCAGCTCTCTCTCTCTCTCCCAGTGTTTTTAGGTATTATAACTACTTAATGCTGTTTTATTTTTAAAAACTGGTAACTCATATATATGAGGCCATATCCTGTTGCGAATTGGGCCGACACAGCATTTTATAACCCCATTCCTCAGCGAAACATTGAACGATTCAATCATTGATGCAATCAAATTGGTTGGCAGTGGCTTATTATATACTGTATAATATATACAATTTATTATACAGTATACCAATACACCACTCACCAACACATTACTTACATTTTCCATTACCATTGATATTATATATATATACCACCAATTGCTTATGAAAATCAAATCATATATTTCTAATATTAATAATTATGATTACAAACAGTGTATTTAATCTGTCCAACTCTCTACAAACTTGATTATATGGATAATATCATTATATGGTGTTGTAATATTACATTAAAAGTGTGTGTGTGTGTGTGWGAGAGAGAGAGTACAGTATTTAATGATGAGTGCACTAAAAAATTTTTAATTGATTAGTTAATTGTTTATCTATTTTAAGTATGCACTATATACTGCAGATATATATTTTATACACATTGTGTATATACCGTATACTGTATATCGATATACATGTATTATAGTATTTGTTGAAACACACACACATTAGTTTGTACCATTTCTCTCTCTATCTAACATTTCTATTTGATTACAATACGTGATAAGCAATTGTTAACTTTGAAAAAAACCAAATAAACTTTGAACCTATAATCAAATTGATAATCGTCGATTAGCTATCCAATTAGTTGGACATTTTGTTGCGATTAAAAATTATTAAATCAAATAAAAAAAGCCCCCAAAGTTGAAAAATACCATTTTAGCCAATTATTGGTGATTTTAATTTTTAAATTATTTTATTTATTTATTTATTTTGGAGACAATTTTCCCCATCAAATGACATGTGTATATACAGTATATGTTTATAATTCTAGTTTATGAATATTATAAAAATTATATACATATTATTGACTTTAAATAAGATTAGATTATTATTATTATTATTTTCTATGTCTTATGTCTGGAATGTCATTAGCAAAGTAGTTGTGTTTGTTTGATATTTAGTTCAAATCTATCAACAAGTCTAACACCAGCGCAACATATAGTCTACATGAGCGCTGACGACGACGACTGACTCAGTTTATCTTTCTCTGTGTGCTCTTACAGCAGGTCATTGTCTGCACAGCCCCTAAGTTCGACTACCTGTGCCATCAGTAGTCGCACACAATTTTGTTGTTGTTGTTGCTAACTATTTAAAACTATTGCATACCACTTTTTATATATATATATATATATATATATATATATATGTCTAACTATAAACTAAATAAAAAAAAATTATGTGAAATTATTATTGATATAAATTATAATTTTTGAAATTTATTGATACACTACTAGTTTGAGGAGAGAGAGAGAGAGAGAGAGCATCATCTAATAAAAGCATAAACATTAGTGACAAACAATATGTAAATTGTTATGAAATGTTTGCCAGACTTATTATTATTATTATTTTGATAATATAGATATGCATTTTTAATACATGTCTGACACAGTTTCCATATAATAATAATTTTTATTTTGATGATTTATTCACCGAAATAACTTAATTTAAAAAAAAATAAATAAATACAAGTATAATATCTATTTTTTCTAAGTGAAGCTTATAATTTACAAACAACAATATGCTTAGTAATAATAATACAGTAGTTAAATGTTTGTTATAGTTTGTTTGTTTTTTGCTTTGAGAAATAATTTTAAAAAGCAATTTAATATTATCATAAAAAAATAATAATTAAAATCAAATGAGAGATCTGCTAGTAGTAGTAGTGGTAAATCCCATGTTGAGTGTGTCCATCCATTTTTCATTATTATTATTTCCCAAACTTTTATCTTTTATATATATCATATATATTTTGTTTTTTGAAAAAAAAAATTATTTCATTGCTATAGTTTTATGTAATTAAAAATTAGCTTATTTATTTTATAAATTTGTTATATAATAATAGGCATAATAATATGTATGTGTTGTGAAACAATAATATTTTTCACTCTACATAATAATAATAATAATATAGTAATTTAAAAACATTTGTATTCATAATGAAACACATTTTATGACAAACAATTAACATCTAGTGAGAAGGCTATGTATATTTTGTTGTTGTAGTAGTAAATAATATTTACAAATAATTTGTTTTGAATATGTATGTTATACAATGTATATCTATTAGTACTAAAAAATATATAATATATAAAATAGTAGTACACAACATAATACATAATATTGTTGTTGTTGTTATGATATTTTTGTTTATATATATATATATTTTAATATATAAATTTTGTTGTGTACTGAAAAAAATGATTAAGTGTACCTTGAAGCAATTAAATATTATAAATACAATTAATGTTTTTTAAAAAACGTTATATTGCTGTTTTGTATCTGTATTTACTGTATTATGTATTTATATATTTAATATGAATTCAATTTCCATAAAATAGTACCAGTTTTTTGGGGACAACTTTTTTTAATAGCTAACTAATATGTAAGGTTGTGCTGTATTTTATTTTTGTTGTTGAAATTTTGCATAGAGTGATAAAAATATGTTTTTCCTCTAGCATTGCATTACAGGCTTATCTCTTTTGGTTGATATTTCTTTTAGTAAAATAAAAAACATTTTTAAAAAAAAATATATTTATATTTTTTTTGAAAGAAATTTAAATTATTTCTATATTTATTTCTATATACATTTTAATATTATTTTGTATACATTTCACAACAAGTTGTTTGTCTCTTTGTGTGTATGTATGTATAGTTTGTTTAACACTCGATGTCGTATTTTGATACGTTTTTTGTAACGGTATTTGTGAATAGTATTTTACAAATATCATATTGTTTTCTGTTTGTAAACACAAGTAGACATATCAATCAAACATTTGTGATAACAATATGTCCACCGAAGCTGACCAGTCTCCCGAAGAAGAACATATTCGGCATTGTATTTTATACGAATTTGATCGAATGAAGAAATTGGGCCGAATTAATGCCACCGAAGCGACAAAACGGATCAATGAAGTATATCCCGAATCAATTGGTGTTCGAAAAGTTCAGAGATGGTTTGATCGATTTAAATCGAATGACAGATCTCTTGTGGATAAGAGTCGAGGACACCCTACTATTGTCATCGATAATGAAGTTCTTTTGAAAGAAATAGAAGCGGATCCGAGGCAAACTCTTCACGATTTGTCACATAAGTATGGGGTTTGTCGAACTACAGTATATAACCATTTGATCGAAATTGGCAAAGTATATAAAATCGGAAAATGGGTACCACATGATTTGTCACCCGAACAAAGAGCCAATCGAGTAGAGACATGTCGACGTTTGCTGTCAGATCTCAAAGACGTTCCATTTTTGGAACAAATAGTGACAATGGATGAGAAGTGGGTGTATTACGAAAACCCTGTCATAGGTGGTCAATGGGTCGATCCTGAAGAACCTGCGATACAGACGCCGAAAAGAAACCTCAATCCTAGGAAGGCAATGCTGTGTGTTTGGTGGGATTGGATTAGTATTATTCATTATGAAGTTCTCGAATATGGTCGGACGATAACATCTGAGCTCTATTGTCAACAATTGGACAGACTTAAAGAAGTATTGATGGTAAAACGTCCAAGATTAATTAATTGTAATAGGATTAGATATCAAAGAGACAACGCGTCGAGTCATACTTCAAGAATGACTCAAAATAAAATGAAAGAGTTGGGTTGGAAGGTTGTACCTCACCCACCATACTCTCCAGACATCGCACCTTCAGATTATTATTTGTTCCGAAATTTACAGACGTTTCTTAATGGAAAAACATTCACTGGAATCGATGATATCAAAAAAACCATCGATGAGTTTTTTGGCTCTCAATCAAAGGACTACTTTCAGAAGGGGATTATGGCTTTGCCTGAAAAATGGCAGAAAGTCATTGCTAATGATGGACATTATATAGATAATTAAATTTTATTGTATAATGGTTAATTTTACATTTGAAATATTAGAAATAAAACGACACCAAGTAATGAACAACCCATATGTGTTGTTGTTGTATACAACATTATTATGCAATGCATCGTATATTTTAGGCACAAATGAGTGGAAAAAATAAATTAAATAATAAAAAACAATTTATTAACGCAAATAACATATGAAAATAACTAATATTTTTTTCCACTTTATCTATCTCTCATTTTAAAATAATTCATTGAAAAAAATAATAACAATTTTAATTATTACACTATATGTATTGTACAACAAGTTATTTAACAAATAATAATTTTTACAACCATTAGTCTGCCTCTATATACAATATAATATTACTATACATATTATTAGTGTTTTTTATCTAATAAAACATGAATAGTGATTTTTTACATTATATTATATTTTTATTTCATTTTGTTTTGTGACAATTGATTTGTTGTTGATTATTATATTTTTTATATATTTATTTATGTGATTTATGTGTGTAATGTTGACTAAAAAATGTATTTCCTCTGCAGTTAATCTGAGCGGAAGGGGAAGAGTTGATATGTCTAACTTTGAACTACTCAAAGTGCTTGGAACCGGTGCCTATGGAAAGGTATTTGCACTGTTATGTTGCCTATAATATTGCTGTACCATTTAGTGACAGCCGATTTTTCTATATTTATATATATTTTTTACTAATTTTTGTTTGTTTGTATTTATTTAAAATTAAAAATTAAAAAAAAAATTAGGTATTTCTTGTAAGGAAAGTTGGCGGACAAGACAATGGAAAGTTGTATGCAATGAAAGTCTTGAAGAAGGCATCGATAGTCCAAAAACAGAAGACATTAGAGCACACAAAAACCGAACGACAAGTACTTGAATCCATAAGACAGTCACCATTTCTGGTGACACTTCACTATGCCTTTCAAACGGCTACTAAATTGCATCTAATTCTCGGTAATTATATATAATATATATAATATATAATATAATATATAAATAAATAAATAAATATACAGTATATATATATAATACAGAATATATTTAAATAATTATTTTAATAATAGAAATAATATGATAAACAGTATTATTATTATTATTATTAGTTAAACAATTCAAAAAAGAAATGAAAATGTCTGACCTATTTTCCTATCTTTACTATTAAAAAAAACTAAATAAACTAACTATAAGTTTTGAGTAAAATTATAATTTTTTTGTTGCAAAAATAAATTGTGTGGACTTTTTTTCTAAATAGAAAGTGTTTCACAATATATATAAAGTTTATATTATAAATCATAAATTAATTTATTTATTATTATTATTATGTATATTCATTGTCTACGATGATACAAAAAACATGTTTGTATTAAATTTATTTTAGATAGAAAAACAAATCAAAAAAATAATAATAATTGCACAAAAACTTTTGTATTGTTATTATTCATAAGCACACAAACAAAAATATATGGTAGTAGTTGTAGTAATAAACAATGAGTTTAAATAAGATTAAAATATAAATTAAATTTATTTTTCATTTAATGTGTTATAAGATTATGTTAGTGGAGGCGAACTGTTTACCCATCTCTACCAACGCGATCACTTTAATGAGGATGAGGTCAGGATATATATCGGTGAAATCATATTAGCATTGGAACACCTTCACAAAGTAAGTGTTTTTTCCTCTCCCTCTCTCTCTCTATCGGTACCTCCCTATCCTTACTTACTTTCCTCATCAATAATACAAAATGCATTTATTCATCACTTATTAACTGAACTGACATATCAATAACAATCAATTAATTATTTGTAATCATATTTAATAAGTTGGGTATCATTTATCGTGACATCAAATTGGAGAATATCCTACTTGACTCTGACGGCCATATAGTTTTGACAGACTTTGGTCTCAGCAAAGAGTTTCTGCCGCATGAAACCGATCTGAGAACCTACTCGTTTTGCGGTACCATTGAATATATGGCACCCGAGGTTGTCAGGGGTGGATCAGCTGGTCATGATTTTAGCGGTTAGTTTAATTTACTTGCGATTTGTGTTTAATTTTTTGTTGTTGAATGAAATTTATATTTTAAAATAAATGTTTATTTTGTTTTGAACAGTTGACTGGTGGAGTGTCGGTGTCTTAACCTATGAACTATTGACCGGTGCCTCTCCATTCACTGTCGAAGGCGAACGGAATACGCAACAGGAGATATCGAGAAGAATTCTCAAAAGTCATCCACCGATTCCCGAACATCTATCCTATGAAGTACAAGACCTTATTAGAAATACATTAGTAAAAGATCCGCGCAAACGATTGGGTGGCGGATCAGAAGATTCATTAGAGATTAAAAGACATCCGTTTTTCAAGTCAATCAATTGGGATGAATTGGCCAATCGGCAGGTAAAAGCACCGTTTGTACCAAAAATTACCGGCGAACTAGATGTTAGCAATTTTGCCGAAGAGTTTACATCAATGATTCCGGCCGATTCGCCCGCCGTTATTCCGCCCAACGATGAAAAAATATTCAAAGGCTACTCATATGTTGCGCCATCGGTTCTGTTCAGCGAAAATATCATCAGCGACGACATATTTTTGGACAGAAATCAATTGTATCATAAAAAGTCATTATTCGCTCCAAATAACACCAATACTAATAGCAAAGATCTCCTAAACGCTCAAACAAATGACAGAGACTTTTCACAACTATTGTCCTCAAAGTTCAAGAGTTCGGCATTTTTCCAGAACTACGACTTGAAAATTGATGCCGGAATTCTTGGTGACGGTAGTTTTTCTGTTTGCCGTAAATGTGTCCACAAGAAATCGGGTATCGAGTATGCTGTTAAAATTGTCAGCCGAAAGATCGATACCAGCCGCGAGATTCAATTGTTGCGTACATGTCAGGGACATCCAAACATTGTCGATCTGGTCGAGGTTTTCCAGGACGAAGTTCATACATACATTGTGATGGAGTTGTGCGGCGGCGGCGAACTACTTGAACGTATCCGCAAAAAAGACAGATTTACCGAAGTAGAAGCCGGACATATATTCCGGGGATTGGCATCGGCCGTGGCTTTCATGCATTCCAAAGGCATTGTTCATCGAGACTTAAAACCTGAGGTATCTATATATTGATAAATCAAATAATAATTTTTTTAAATCTTTTTTTTTCGTTTTTTTTGTATAACAATCCAGAATCTCCTATTTGGAAGCCATTTGCCTAACAGTGAAGTAAAAGTAGTCGACTTTGGTTTTGCTCGGTATCAGCCAACCGACAATCAGCTCATGAAAACCCCGTGCTTTACACTCAATTATGCGGCGCCTGAAGTGCTTAAACAAGCATTGAATTCCAAAGCCGATGCCGGATATGATGCCAGTTGTGATGTATGTATTGTTAATCAACTACTTGTGTGTGATATTAATCGATTGACTGATTATTAATGAATTATTTTTATTTTTTTTAAATTATTCAGATGTGGAGTTTGGGAGTCATATTATTCACAATGTTATCGGGAAGCGTACCGTTTCAGTCATACAGTCGTGAGGCGAGTGCCGCCGCCATAATGCAACGGATCCGTGAGGGAGAGTTTTCATTTTCAGCTCCTCAATGGGATCTGGTCTCGAGTCAGGGCAAAAGCGTTATCAAAGGATTGTTAACAGTTGATCCTAAACAACGAATAACAATGAATGATTTGGTGTCCCATCCGTGGGTCATTGGAACAGTTAGAGGCGGCTATTCAGACACACCACTGATGACACCGGATGTGCTCAGCAGTCACTCTAGTGTTGGCAAAGCAACCGAAACGGCCATCAAAGCCACTTACGATGCCTTTCATATGGCTCGACTCGAAGGTTTTCGACTGTTGGACGTATCGGCGGCACCGTTGGCCCAGAGACGCAAACTTAAGAAAAGCTCAACTGATGCGCGCAGCAGTAGCTGTAGTAGCAATAGTTCGGCGTCGGCTGGAGGTGTCCGCAGCCACGCGGCCAGCTCTTCATCTAGTTCTTCGACATCACAGCGAACGCGTTCTTCATTGACCACACCGACAACCAGTCATCGACCAAACACTGAAAACGATTCGGTATTCAATTACTCAGATAGCAAAGTGTCGGCCTATTTGTCTGGTTTGCCAACGATTAGTGATTCAACAGAAGCACAACTACTAAGTCATAATCTTTTCTTTGACGAACCAACCAATTCATTAAGCAGTGCAACAATGAGTTCATTATTAGACAATAATAATAATAACTCTCAATTAGTTGTTTGCGGTCCAATTGGTGCCTCAATAGCATCGACCACATCGATTGCGTCGACTGTGTCGACACTATCGGCTCTATCATCGATGTCCGGTAAACGAGATCGCGATGAAAGTATCGAAATTATTGATGAATTTATTTCCGATAATAATAATAATAATAATAAAAATTCAAATGTGAAATCATTGGTAAGTCAGAGCTCGAGTTCAACATCAAAACGACAGCGTCTGAAAACAATTGTGATCGACTAAACAAAAAACAAAAAATCAATAACTGTCCTCTCATTTTATATCCATTTCCTTAAACACACACATCATTACATCATTTGATGAATGAATTTTTCGTCATTTTTATTATTATTATTAATTTTTATTGATAAATGCAATACTAATTAATAGAATTATAATTAATATATTAATATTGAGATGCATAAAAAATAGTATATAAATATATTTTGTTACAAACAAATTTACAATTGTTATTATACTGTAAATTATTAATATATTGTGAAAAAACTATATATATAATAGAGACCTAATTATGGTTATGATTGAGATATACTAAACAAAACAAAACAAACAAATGATATATTACTTGTTATATTTTGATTACGAATTTTTCAAAGTTTATTAATATTAATTGATTGAATATTTGAGAGAAATGTTTATAAATTATTATTATTATAATAATAATAATTATAACAGTAGTGTATAGTTTGTTGGTCGCTATAAATATATATTTAAGTTTAATGACAAGTAGTGTAATTAAATTAATTAATATATTAGAAAAATTATAGATTATTGATTGTCTATATATTTAATTTAGTTAATTAGGTAATTTGCCTTAAAGCAACAAAAAATATATTATTATTATTTTTTGATCAATATATTAGCTAATTATTCAATTATATTCAAAATAATAATCATTAGTTTATATATTGCAATATAATGTATTTAATGCAAATATATATATAAATTTGTATATATATATAATATATTGTAAAATTATCCTATTTAAAGCTTATATATTTGCAATTTACGCGAAAAAATTTAGTTGAATCAAACAAAAAATTGTTAAATTTAAATGTTTAATATTAATTTTTTTAATATTTATAAACGGGTTTTGCAAAACAGTGCCTCTAATTGTTATAAATTAATAAATTATTTTTTCATTAACATTGATAGTCCAAAGGTTTGGCTATTTGTCATTAATAGCCTATAATTAAAATTTTAAAAAAATTATGACAATTGTTTGCTAATTTAAAGAATATTATTTACAAACAATACTCAAATATATTAAAAAAAAGATATTTATATTTTTGGATATTTTACTGACGAATGATATATGATATATCAGATATTATATAATTTAAATATATATTTATATATATATACATAAATAAATAAATATATTTATTTTCATAATTTATAATAATTATCATAATATGATTGCATTGCAAACAATAGCATAATTTTTTTATTGTCTCCAAAAATAAACAAAAAAATTATAGCAAATTTTCTGGTCTATTTGTGGGCTAATTAAATTAATTAATTATTAAATGTTTTAAACAGTATTTTTGTGATACATAAAAAACCATAATGTGTTAAGTTTTAAATAAAAATAAAAGGTTATCTATTTGTTAATAAAAATATAATTTTAAAAAAAGTAAAAAAAATATTATTAATTAGTACCGATTGTAATATAAATTAATTATCTATAAATAACATTAATTTTTTCATTGAAAATGACATTCCTATTCATATATATAAATATATTTAGCTTACATTAAATAATAAAAACTATTTGTGCCTCAAATTAATCTATAAATAGTATATATATTTATAATTTAATGTTTTATTTTGCAATTAAATATATATATATATATATATATATATATATAAACACATTTTTTTTGATTATTTGTTATTGAATTATTATTAATCATCATTATTGTTATAGAATTATACTTATTTAAAGTTTTATTAAGTTATCATTTGAAGTATTATTATTATATTATAATTATTATTAAATTTGTCATTATTTCAAATAATAATAAAAAAATATATTCATTAAAAAAACGATGAATTTGTTTATATTTATTTTTAATTCAATTAATTACAATAAAACTAATGATTATTATTTTTAATTACCGGTACTATACAACAATAACAACAAATAGTTTTATTTAAATCTTTTTAAGAGTTGATAAAAGTTTTCATAGTTTTAGTGATGGGCTCAACAAATCCGTTGACATGAAATGCCAACAAATGTTTCTGAATGTCTGCCAAATCGGTGATACCTGTCTTAAACCAGACTTGATTCTTGAGCGGCGAATCAAACGATGTGGTGTTCAGTTGGTAGCACATGAATCCCAATGTAAATCCATTGGGATTTATGAAAACACACTGAACTGGTACGGGATCAGCCAGATCTTTGTAGTGTTGGATATCATTGTTGGCGGCCATCAGCCGTGCCTGAGCTGTTGCATAGCCGTAACAATAGTTGATGGCTCGGCCAACAAAATACGTGTCATTCAAATTGAGCAATTGATTGTGTGTAAAGTAAATGGTTTGTATGTTATGATTGTCGGGAAGTTTGAATTCATAATCAGTCGGATAGACATTCTTTTCATCAAAACAAGTGGTCCAATTGAGAGGATTTATCGACGCCAATGGTTTGTCGATTGTGGCCAATGGTGTTGTGCTGAACAGTGGTAAACGGTTGCCACTATTAGCAACAGTAATGAAATCGGTATCCAAATCAAAGACAACAAGTCTGTTGTCTCTATTGAAGGGGACGACACAATACGGATAAGAAATTTTCGATATGTCGACAAAACCGAACTGTTTTGATGATAACAGTTGTGTCGAATCGTAGAGTGTTCTCAGATAATTCAATTCTTGACGATTGGGAGGTATACCCCAAACACGGGGTGGTCTTTGATCCAAATAAGGATACTCACGATTGATGGGCAGCTTTCGCATCGTCGAGTCGCTTGTCTTACACCAATCCAAACGTCGGGCCAGCAAATCGATAAACTGATCGTCAATGTCGATGTCGCCAACCATCAGATGATTGACCGATTCGGGCAATTCTTGATCACCTTCGATCACTGTATTGGTGAAGACAAGGGGCTGATTGATCGGATCCAATAGTTTTCGGTATCGATGGTAGACCAGTGCTGGCGTCTCGTTATACTTGGGATCACCGGCAAAGCCTATAATCAAAAGATGATGTCGTATAAAATCCGATCAATCAATCAATCAATCAATTTAATTGACAAAAAACCAACGATGACTAACCTTTGATGGGACGGTTAGAGAATGGCCACGGAAATTCTTTAAGCTCTTCGGCAGTTCTTATTGGCGACAACTCTTCACGCATGGCATCGACAACAAACTTATTGGGGTCTTCAACGGTCACACCTTTGGGAAGTGTTTGTTCATAATCTTCGATCTTTCGCCGGCTCTTTGCTTTCCACTGTTCGCGAAACAAGAAGTGTGTCTTATTTCTGCCCGGTTTGTGTCCCCAACCCTTTCCCCACCAGAATAATGGGATTTTTGTCAGCGATGGTGGTGTCAATCGCATTGTCTTTTTGTTGTTATTGTTATTGCGGACAACTTTATTGGTCGCTAATCACCGATTAGTTAATGTGATTGTCATCGACGACAACACATGTGTTGACAATAATATATGTTATTATAAGTTATTTACAGTTTTTTAGTTGTTATTCACTAACAATAGATAGCGTTATATTCATTTCAATTACAATATACAGAATATTCTGTATGTATTGAATAATAATAAGTTATAATATTATTTATAATAATTATTATTATTATTTTAATATAATTATAAATTATATTAAATATTAGTTAATAAAAACAGATATAACAATTTTTGAAAATAAAATTAATGATAGCATTTTTTTTGTATCCAAAAAAACTATTTGATATGGTTTTATTTGGATAAAAATGATTTTAATATAATAATAATAAAAGTACAAAATAATTGGCTAAATAAAACATCAATAAATGTAAGAAAAACAATGAAAATAAACAACAAATAAATAGTATAAAAATGTATGATTTACTATATATAATATATATACTGTATATATAATACACTTTATATGTCAATAACAACGACGCGATGATTCGGGATATTTGTCTTTGAGTTGAGTCTTGAATTGTCTAAATAGGATCCGATTCCTCTCGAGCTCCAAATCTTTTTCCTTGTGAAACGAGTCGGCCGTTTTGAAGCCCTTATGGATGACAAACGCTTTGTTTAGTACTGAAAATTTGTAACCAGACATATGAAGCTCACAGACCTTACAACAAACAAACAAAAATAATATAAAATATAAATAAAACAATCAATTAATTAATACTTGACTGATCCGATTGAAGCCGTACTGGCGGAAGCGTTCGTCATAATAGGGAACAGTATTGACGCTAATATAAAACGGTTCCCACGGGTCTCTCCACAATACTTCAAACAAAATGTCCATTTTTTGGGACTTATGTTTCTGCCAGTTCTCATAGTCGGTATATTTCTGGCACTTCCAGCACAACTCTATATAAAATGGTCGGGCATTCATCAGTTCAATCTGACGCAACAATTGGGACTTGTCTTTCGGTATTAATTGTTCGATAGTTTCAAGTTTTTCGTCGATGTCAACGCTGGCCAACGTATTGACCTCATAGGCTGGGACTACGTAAACAACTTTTTCTTTTTTACGATCTTCAGTAAACAATTTGTTTTGTTTAGCAAATTCTATGAACTGTTCGTAGAGACCATCGTTTGGCACCAAATCAATGTCCACAACAAACACATAATCAGTCAATGCATTTCTTCGGGCAACGTTTCGCAACAGATTATTCGGGTAAGCGATTCCTAAGTGTCCATAATTTACGGCATTTGATTCAATCATTTTTAGCAAACTTTGCATTCGATCGCAATTCTCTTCTTTGGTAATAATACTAATCGACAGTCGAGGCGATAGAGTGGTGGCACCGATGGCCGGCTTCGGTATACTTAAGGGATATACCAAATGAAAACTAGTGTTGCGGCGAATCGATGGATAACAGCGTCGCAAAAGTAATATCATTTCGATGGCCAAAGGGATGTCTTGGAATAGAGCAAAGACAGTGACTGAAGCTAATCCGTGCCAGCGATTAGATAATAGATCCAAATTATATATCTGTGAAACACTGGTCTGCGTTACGAGACTAATGTCTTGGCGGACATGATTTCGTGGTCCAAGAGATTGAGCGCGACTAAAGAAATTGATTATATGATATTCTCCCGACGAGTCCAATACAGTGGTATGTTTGACCATTTCGTGCATAGCTTTGCGATCAGATTCAATGTCTTCATCTTTATAATCGCTGACAGCAATTACATCTTCATTGAAAATGTTGTTTTTTGTCCTCTTTTGTCTTTCGGACCGCTTTGACTCCAAACGACTCAATAAAATCATATGAATCACCTGAAGATAATTGAGAAATAATTATTACATTTTTAAATCAAATTATTAATTATAATTACCTGAAGAACGGCGATAACAAAGACTAGAAAAATGATTAATCTTTTCCACAATAAACCCATTGATTACTATTGACTATATTTTTTTGTTGGTGTCTTTGACTGACTTGTTTTTTATGACTAAATCCAAAACAATGGCATCTTTGATGATATCATCTCATTATTATTATTATTATTATTAGCTGTCATCCAGACATCATCGATATCTTTGGTTTTCAATAGTATTGCTATCAATAACTACCGTATATTGCAATTACAATAATCACAATCAGAAAAATGCATTCATAAAATTATTATAATCCAATTGATCCAATAGAAAGATGATGTCGTTGTTGTTGTTGTTGGTGGTGGTGGTGACAATTGCAGTCGACAATAGTCACCGCAAATTGTGATCAAAGTTGTCAACCATTATCGCCAAACATTTTGCCAATCAATTTGCTGTAATATAACTGTCAATACAACACAAAAGCTTATGTTATTATTATTATTATGTGATATAAAATTCTGTATATATATTGGTGTCAATGATGTCTATCTAACGGATCAATTAATTGTGATATTTTTTTTTGGGGGGAAAATCTATTGAGTAAAACATAAATATTTATTATTGTTATTAAAACTAATTTATTAGTAAATTATAATCAAAATTATAAATAATTTATTAATTATTGAGATTTATTTTGTATTATTACAATAATTGTAATAAAAGTTTACGTAATTTTTATATATAAATATTGTAACAAAATATTTGATTTGTATTAACATGTGTTTGAAGTAAACATTTGATACAAATAAACGGCGATTAAAAACAAAATGTTATTCAAAGCTATCTCTTCGCCAATCAATCGTCTCATCAAAACTAATGGTAATAATAATAATAATAGACCATTGGATCAGCTTTTCGGTGATAATTAAAGAATATTTAATTTTTTGACTAACAAATAGTGTTGAATACATGCCTAAGACAAGTCCAGACCTCAGTGGCGACCCGACAACAACAGCAGCCATCGCTGGACTCGTTTGGCACCGAATCGGCCGATGATAAGACTGTTGTCATGGATGAGACCATCAAAAAGGCGTACGAAGAGTCGTTAAGTCACGCCGACTACTTTGATATCAACCGTTTGTTTACAGTCAGACAACTGTTTGAATCGCGCGTCCATTTGGGCCACAAATTGGGAACTCTTAACCCACATATGACTCCCTATCTGTTTGGTAAACGGTTGGGATCTCTTGTTATCGATTTGGATCAAACCGCTCAACGGCTGCGGGAAGCGCTCAACTTTACCGCTCATATAGCCTTTAGGGACGGAATCATACTATTCATCAATAGGTCGCTAAATGTTAGTGACTTTAAAGATATATTATAATTGTTTTTTTAAAAGACTGATATATTTCTATTATTCTTCTAAAGACAACACATTTGGTGGAGAAGACGGCCAAAGAGTGCAACCAATTCAGCCACTGTCGAGAGTGGAACAGCCGAACATTTTACGACTCGACCATATACTTCGGTGCCGTCACCCGATTACCCGATTTAGTTATATTTTTGAATGCTATGAATAATGTGTTTGAAATGCATCCGGCGGTCGTCGATTCGGCCAAACTTTTAATACCAACCGTTGGCATTGTCGACACCAATAGCGATCCCACACTCATCACATACCCGATTCCCGGCAATGACGATACCTATCAATCCATACAACTGTTTTGTCGACTATTCAAACAGTCTATCATTTTAGGGCAACGAAAGCGAAAACAATTGTTGGATTCATTAGATAACCGATAAGCTATTTATCGGATAATTATATCAAATAAAAAATCACATCAAAACTTATGTAATAATATTTACTTTAATCTATTAATAATAATTAAAAAAACAAGTATACAAATTGTAGTAAAATTATATAAGTTATATATTTATTTACAAAAGTGTTTATTTGTTTTAATATTGAAAAACATTTCCATTAACCTTATTGTTGTTGACTTGTGAGCTGATTCACGTATACCCTATAGTAGTCGATTGTATATGTATTGTACTACCGGTATAATACTATTGAGTACCGGTAATACACAGTATGTGTTTTGGTGTTTATTTTTATAAAAACTTCTAGAAAACTGAAAAATTTTGATTAAAAAAAATAATTTTTAATGATTAGAAATTAAGTTTATTATATTAAATTTTTGACAACAAATAAATAAGAGAATGATTAGTATAAATATATTATATATATTATTAGTTACCAATAGTTATATAAAAAAATTGTTATGTCTTTTAATATTTTATTTGACCATAAAACACAAAATTATGTACAAAAAAATTCTAATGTATATGTAGTAATATAAACTAATAGATATAAATTATATATAGATAGATATATTGTAAGTACAGTACAAGTATACAATATAATTATGATTAGACAGTCAACTTTGGACAACACATTTGATAAAATAAAATTAGTTATTAATATTAATAATAATATTATTAGTTAGTTAGTTTGTATACTATAAATGCATATAATGATGACAAAAAATAGTTGTTATCGATTCTCAATGTGTATGTAACTACTAATTATTAAGTGGAAACAACTTTTTTTGTTTGTAATCACACAAAAATGAGAAATTAAAAGGTAAATGTAATGATGAATATACAGTATAAATAGTATTTATTAAATACAGTACTACAGTATAAATAAAGTATAATTAATAGTACTGTATATATAAATATATATATATATATATATTTAGTAATACATTTAGTAATATATATATATAAATGATAGAGAGTGTCGTGCGGTAAACCACTCAGACCTTTAGCCCCCAACACCCAACCAATAGATAGATAGATAGATAGCCCTCCAAACTAATCGCAATATAATTTTTATCTCTAAATATTGTATTAGATTTTTATATTACTGTATAATATATATATATATATTAATTTTTCACCAATCATTTCATTAGTCAACATTTAAACGTCGATATATAAAATGTGAGAAAGAATTTTGATAAACATTTAGTGTAGACTATTTGTAACTTATTTTTTTTAAATTTAATTATTTTGTTTAGTATATTAATATCATATTATATGAAAATTTGTGTAAAACTTGTGGTCACTTAGTATACAAGTATATTGCAATATTGTTGTCAATAATTGTTGTTTTTTTTGTTAAATAAATTTGTGATTTTATTCAACGCGTTGTCATATTTGATTATTTACTGAAATAATTTACTGTATATTAATTGTCAATTTTGTTGTTGTGTTCATCAATAAAAACACAGTTAATTAAAAGTTTAAATTATCGGTTATTCAATGGCTCCCAATACCGATAAAACCGATACCAATCTTAACAAACCATTCAAACAGAGAAAGCCTTTAAGTTAGTATAAAAAAATTATATTTAAATTTTTTTTTTAATAATTTAATTATTATTTGTTGTTTACTTGTGGATAATTTTGTTGAATATCATAGTTTTTAATTAATATATTATCTATAAATAATACATAATTTATTATTATTATTCGTTAATTCGTTAATTAATATTATTTTTTAATTACAAATAATATCTAAATTTTTATAAATTAAATTTTGTAATAATCAGTAAAATTTTTTTAATCGTATTGATTATCATTAGTTAATATAAAAAATTGTCTAGCTATTTTTTTGCTAGCTAATAATCTGTATTTTAATTTCAAGATAAGTGCAATTATGTTAATTTTCAACAACAAAAAAATATTTTAATCAATTTTTTCAATCATTTTTTTGAAGATTTTTTTTATTATGTAAACAAATTTTATTTAAATGTTTGCAAATTAAAATATATATATACAATATAATGGATTTTTTTAAAACAAATTTAAATAAAATTTATTTATTTAATATTTATTAACACTTTTATAGCGACGCGAAAGGAAGAAGTATCGGGAATAAGAGCCAAATTTCCGACAAAAATACCGGTTTGTCATAAAATTATTTAATTATTTAAATTATAAAACAAATTTACATGAATTTTATTTAAATAAATATTATTATAATTGAAATAAAAATGAAATCTTGAATAGTAAGGTCATTGAATGCAATAACAATAATTAGATTATATTATTTATTTATCAGACAGTCTGTCCCCAAACAGAGTAATTATAACTAATCTTTTTATTATTTGTAATAACTGTCAAAAAAAGGGTTGTTATGTTGGCATAGATTCAAGTTATTAATACTGTATTTATTATATATTTATTTATACATAATATATTTCAATGAATTGCGAATTATCTATTAATGTATTATTAATTTAAAACCTTAAAAAATTTTCCATTATTTTTATTGATACTATAGGCGATAAATTGTAGTGAAATCATAGGAAACATTAGAAAATAAAATAATAATAAATTTTTTCATAATAGTTTTAATACATAAAAAATTATTTAAGTAAACACTATCTTTATTTTTGAATAAATAGAGAGAGAGAGAGAAAGTAAGATAAAACTAGTTTTTAGTATAAATATTATTTTTTCAAAATAATTTATTTACTTTTTTAATATTTATAATCAATAATAGTAATAAAAAACATGGACTTTAAAACATAATAAATATAATATTTTGTAATAATTTTTTCGCAATAATAACAATTAGGTAATTGTCGAAAAGTATTCAAAGGAGAAGACACTTCCGGCTTTAGACAAAACAAAGTTTTTAGTGCCTCAGGAGTTGCCAATGGCTACGTTTGTCACCATAATTAGGTAATTTAAAAAAAATAATATTATTTTTTATTTAAAAAATAATCAAAAATCAAAATAACCTTGGATCATATAAAATCAAAATATATATAATTTTTAAAAAACATTTAATAGTATCATTATATATATGCTGATTAAAGTACAGTACTTTTATATGTCTAAGCTATTAACCCCATATATAATACAGTTATAATATAAGTATAATTACTGTATATTAATATTATAATTAGTATTATTAGTAAATCTAATGTTAGTTTGAGCGATAATATTATTAAAATTTATTATAAATGTACCGGTATAGAAATGTAACATAAAATTATTATTATTATTATACTAAATGATAAAAATTATCACTGATAATAAGTTTTTGACTATTTACGCTTTTAATGCTATTTATATACTTTTATTATACATTTACTATCAAAATGAAAAATAATAATTTATAATAAGAGGTAAACAATTTTTATTTGACAAATGTGTTGCCAACTGCTGATTGCATTAAATGAGATCTTTTTAAATATTAAAAATAAATTTCAATTCAAAAATGACATTTTAATGAGAAAAATGGGATATTTTTGAAAGGGATTTTCCCAAAACTTTCACTGGACACACATTTTTATCAATAAAAATAAACAAATTAAATATTTGCCAAATATATATAAGTGTAATTATGTTTGATTATACTAGAAATACGTATATAATTTATAATTATTTTGATTAACTTTTATAAGTATAGGAAATATGCATTATTTAAAATAAACATTTATAACAAATTTTATATTTTGCAATTAATCATCATTATTGTTATACACAATTAATATAAAACAGCATACTTTATAAAAAAAATATAATATAAATTATAAACAATTTTAATACATTTTATTTAAATTTAGTAATAAATTTATTTTACCGGTAATTATATTTTTTTTTTTAAATATTAAAATATAGGAATCGGATGCAATTGAGCTCAACTCAAGCCTTTTATTTGATTGTCAATAATAAAAGTATGTGTAATATGACTAAAACCATGGCTGAGATATACAAAGAGAACAGAGATGAGGACGGCTTTCTATATGTCACATATGCATCACAGGAAATGTTTGGCTGATATCTATATGTGATGGCAATACCATCAGTGATGGGGGTATATAATCTCAATCCCTCCACACTATCGCATCTATCATCTAATTTGATTGTATAATTTTGTATATAATTTATTAAACCACACATTTTCAAAACTAAAATATTTAATTATATTAGAAAAAAATTCATAAATTTATATATATATTACAATAATATTTAATCCAAAAAAATGTATTTAAAGAAAAAACATGAATACGATTAACAAATTTATTTTTAATCATATAAAATATTTTATTATAATAATAAATAAATAAAATAATTGTTTTTAATTAAAAAAAAAATCACAATCTATTGATTGGGCGCAGGAGTGGCCGGATTGATCATCGGATTACCGGTAATCGGTAAATCTGGTTGTGCAATACGTTTGGATCCATCGACTAACATGTCGTGTACGGACTTTGCAAAGTTGACCTGATTTTTGATTGTCATTATATATTGATTGTATGACATCGAGTCCGGTGTTATTGCAGTGTTTACGTCGACATCCAATTTGTTGATATTGAACGGTAAATATAAGTGACTGTCTTTTACCTGAATGGCCACTTCGTGGATTGTTTTCTAATACAAACAAAAACAAATTGATTATCAAATAATGAAACAAATTAATCACTTTATATCTATTAGTGATTACCAAATGTAATTCAATTTGATTACAAATTGAGAAAAAGTCTTCTAATGCTTTGTCAAATCTAACGACATTATCGGACTGATCATTGGTTTTGCTAAATAAACAAACATATAAAACATTGTTTGAAATATACGGATAATTCAGAGACTATCAAAAAAAAATTGACAGCCAGTTCGTACCCGACGGTGTCTATCAATGAGTTGCGATGAATGTTATTAGCGGCCACTTTCATGACATTCTGTGTCCGATTAAGAAAAAAAAACAATAATCAATGCTTAAGAGGCCATTCATTCATCACTTATATATGATTGACACCACACTTACCGCAAGTGAATCTTTGAGAGCCCAAACCAATTGGCGGACTCTTATAATCGGCTCAGATTTTTGGTCACCCGGTGGCTGATTTGATTGGCCGCTTGCGGCTGACTGTTGTTGTTGTCCGGCCATTGCGGGCGGTTGCTGTTGGCTTGTCATTGACGCCATCGTTGCTTAATGTTTACTAACGGTTTACTTGTGATTATAACGCTTGCAATAAAATATCAAATATAATCTATGATAACATCTATTATAGTTTATTATTATAATTGCGTTCAAAATTATAATTTAAATACAAAAACATTAGTATTTAAAAAAACATCAAACAATGTGTACAGTAATGACAATTTGTTATATAAAACAATAAGGGCTTAACTCATTCACATACAAACCAATGATTATTGTACGACAATAGTATAGCATTGGTTACGCCATTATTGCCAATCATAATTGACAAACATAGACACATACAGTAGAAACAAATTAATGATAAATATATGAAATAATTTATTGTATTAAATCAAATTTGGATGAATTAAAAAAAAAGTAATTAAAAAAATTTCAAAACATTAAATTTTTAGAAATAAAATATAATTAAATCAATGACTAAATTGTTTGTAAGATTTTTTGAAAATAGATCAACAAATGTGTGTTTGTTGTCAATTGACTGCAATTGTATTGTCATTGAAGTCAATAGCATAGCTGTCGCTGTAATCGCATTACAATTACTGCCATTTTATCGGTAAATGTGTTTAGAGTTTGTTTTGTCTAATTATTAATCATCCGTTTCGGGCGATAATCTGGTCAGAGAAACAAAATGATGGCATCAAAGCTACGCAGAAATCCGTTGAACGGTTTAATTGTAAAACGTCTGTTGAGCGGCCAGACGGCGGCGGCCAAGAGTTCAGAAGCAGCAGAAGCCGTAAAATCGGCTCAATTGAAGACAACGACTCTGCCTAATGGTCTGGTCGTGACCTCACTCGAAACGTTTAGTCCGGTCGCCCAAATCGGTGTCATTCTGAGAGCTGGATCCCGATATGAACCGCAAGACAAGCTCGGACTGAGTCATACGCTAAGATCAATGGCCGGTTTCACTACCGAAAATCACACCGTTTTCGGTATTACTCGCAATATCGAGTACGTCGGCGGCAGTCTTACAGCTCATACGACCCGTGACGACATTGTCTATATACTGGAAAACGATCGCACATACACTGACCTCAACATCAAGTATTTGGCTGAAACTATTACAAAGCCTGCGTTCAAACGGTGGCAAATCAAAGATAACTGCGGCCGACAACGTGTCGATTTGTCTCATTTCAAAGATCAACCGAATCTGGTTGTGATGGAAGCCCTCCATTCTGTCGCTTTTCGCGGCGGACTTCGAAATTCATTGTATTCGCCAGACTTTATGATTGGCAAACATACGACTGAAGATTTACACAATTATGTTGAACAGCATTTTGTCTCGAATCGGGCCGCTGTTGTCGGACTCGGTATCGATCATAAACATCTGCTGGAACTTGTGGAAAAGCATCTGCCATTGGCCAGAAGTGATCGCGGTAATAGTGGACAATCGAAATTTATTGGCGGCGAAACTCGCATCGATAGCAACTCTAACACTACTTATGTGGCCATTGCTACTGAGGGAGTCGGGTAAGTGATCTAAAAAATAAATCAAAATAAATTATTTATTAATTTGTCGTTTATTTAAAAAGAGCGAAAAACCAAAAGGAAATGATTTGTTTAGAATTGTTGCAAATAATTCTTGGAACCGGTCCTAACATATCATATCAGGACGGAAGTCATACAAAATTGGGTGCAGCCGTTGCCAAAGCCACTAGCGAACCGTTTGCAGTGTCGGCATTCAATATGAGTTATTCAGATACCGGTCTATTTGGCATCAATATTGCCGCCTCTGCTAAGGACATCCACAAAGCTGTTAAGGCAGCGGTTACTCAGCTGAGAGATACGGCCAAAAATATCAGTGCCGAAGAACTTAAAAATGCAAAGTATTGTTATTATTAGTATTATTTTATCGGTCTTTTTGATTTTTTTTGTTGACATACCGTAATTAATATAAAAATTATTATTATTTGTTTTTAGAAATAATTTGAAAGCTTCGTTGTTTTTGTCTTGCGATGACTACAACTATATGATCGAAGAGATTGGCACCGAATCACTCAACTATGGCAGCGTATTATCGTTGCCCGAGTTTCAGAAAGCGCTCGACTCGGTCACTGTTCAGGACGTTACCGGTTTGGCCACAAAGATTGTCAAAACCAAGGGTGCAATGGCCTCCTATGGCAACCTCCAGAACGCCCCCTTTTTAGAAGATTTGATTTAATTACCAATTGTTATTCCGTATAATAATTTTGTTTCTTGTTTTTAGCAATTTAGTTGTAAATAAATTAATAATTAATTAAATTGACATTAAAATGCTTATATTTGTCGCAAAGAAAATGTTATGAATAAACTTTTAAAAAATTGTCATCAATTTATGCATTTTGTTTCAAATGATTGATTAAATTATAATTAAAATTTTAGTTTCCAAATAATTTTTGAGTACTGAAATTATTTTTTTTATAGTTATGTTATTTGTAAATTATATTACAATAGTATATTTTATATGAAATTTGAAAATTGTTTAAAATAATTTGTTTCAGACAAAAAACACATTACCGGTAATTGAATTATAGAAATAAATAATTTTTATTTGTTTATATAAAAAAATGTAGAATTTTTTTTTTAATTTAAAGTTAAATATACTAAGAAAGTTATGGAAACTTTTTTTAACGGATATCGTATTATTTACCGGTAATTAAAAAATATAGTGAACTGTTATATAACATATTATAGACAATTGATTACAAAAACAGTACACAACCCGTGACCTTGACCTGAACACACCTATTTAGTCACACACCGGACCCCATGTATAGCACAGACACACACACAGCATATATGATATATCTCCTAAACACCTGACTGACAGCATCTTTCAATCTCTCTYTCTYTCTCTCTCTCTCTCTCTCTCTCTCTCTCTCTCTCTCTCTCTCTTCTCTCTCTCTCTCTCTCTCTCTCTCTCTCTCTCTCTCTCTCTCTCTCTCTCTCTCTCTCTCTCTCTCTCTCTCTCTCTCTCTCTCTCTCTCTCTCTCTCTCTCTCTCTCTCTCTCTCTCTCATTCTTTCTTTCTCTGTCTCTCTCTCCCTAAGCGTGTCCTTCGCCTCTCACTGTGTATGTGTTCACCGGTTACTGACCCTTAACTGTAAGGAATACCTGACAAATAGGAAGTAAAAGTTTTTTCAGTCATAACCAGTCACTGAAAAAAGACAGACAGCGCTCACACTTTTGCTAATAAGTTTTGTCAATAGATTTCATATTTCATTGCCAATTGTGAAGTTAATCCAAACTAATGAAAGATTTTTGTTAAACAAGTATTATATTTCGTGTTTATATAGAGTTAATACTTAAAAATTTGTTATTTTTTTAATTAGTTATTTTTATACATTTATCTAATAATATAATTTATTTTTGATAAAATATTTCAACAAATTAATTGAAGATTTCAATGATATTTTAATTAAAAAAAACTATAGTTTATTTACTTTTAAGATTATGTATTCAAATCAGAATATATTGAGTACTTTTGTGATTATATTATCGGTTTTAGACGTCTATACMAAAGATAGTCATTTGATTGGCAAAAATAATTCAGATCTTTCAGTGGGAAAGTCATACACGAATTCAACCAAAAACTCGAATACCATTATCAACTCGGATGTGGACAACAGTGATGATGAGGTTAAAAGCAAATACAAAAGTAAGCAATTTTCATCAGATCACACCCTAACTGGTCAGTGGGCTGGCAGACAAACAGCAACCAATTTTGCGGGTATCGGTAATAGTAATGACTATTTCAGCAATTTCTGGTACTCACTATATGTCGACCGATCTTTTAATTCCTCATTTGCACTGAATGTACCACTATTTACGATAACTGTTCCCGGTTATGGTAGGGGTCTTAAATATGCTACTCCTTTGTCGGCAATTAATGTTGGTATGACTTAATTAAAAAAAACAAACAAAAATTACTAACTATTTTCCGCAACAATTATTAACAACTATTGGGTGTGCACTGGCACTGGTATGTTTTAGGTAATCTGGCGGTGTTGGGTATGATATTTTTCGGGAGTATAGCCTTATGGCTTCCCATTGTATTTCCAGATGTATCTACTAAGAGAAGTCTAGATTCATCGGATATATCGAGCATACCATACATTTTGGCCAAACGTATCATTAATATATCTGAACGAATGATGGGTCGGTCGATGAACAACGAGGAGAAGCAAGGATTGTCTAACTTTGTCACCAGTCGTTTGGTTGGCGTTTCCGAGTCTATAATGGGTTGGGTGGAGAAATCGGTTGATGACTTGCCTAACTTTCCCCGTTTGGATGCACAAGAGTGCATGAAAAGGTGTATCTGTGAGGCACACAATCAGCCAAAGAAATATGGATTAACCGGACTTGTATTGCAACTGTTTTTCCCGTTAGTTATCAAATTAGTATATATATATATATTTAACATTTAGTTGACAATAATTTTATTTGCTCTATCAGTCCCTACACGGAAATTGAAGAACCGTTAAAAGTGGTATCAAAGTATCAATTGGCCGCCCGTTACGGTCGTCAGGACAATGCCAACTGTGCGGCTCAGTATGACGGATGTCTCGTCAACTTTTTGGATATAGTTCAAGGGCTCATCAATTTAGTCTTTTAATTTAAAAACAAAACCGCACCAAAACTTGTCTACAATTTGGATATCAAAATGAAATAAAATGATCGATAATTTATTTAGACATTAATGTCAGTCGACATTTGCTAACTATTTATTTTTAAAAAAAATTACCGGTAAATTACTGACATTTTTGTCTACATTATTGATCGTTATTATTTAAATTCAATGATCTTAACAAATATATTATAAATATATAATTTTATTAGTAAATTATTTTTATTTATTAAAAAAAGTTACACACACTGAAACTTCAGTATTAATTTTATTTTTAAAAATAGATTAATTTAAATAATTGCAAAAATATTGGGCTTTAATTTATCTATACTTTAATAATAGAGCACATAATTATTGATTTAGTTTTATAATTGCGTTAAATATGTATAAAAAAATATTTATTTATTTATTTAAATTTTATATTGTATATAACAAATAAAATACATTATAAAACACATTTAAAATAATAATAAATATTATTTATTAAATTAATTGGCTTTAATGGTCTGTTTAAAGGCCAATAAATCCCAAAATGCTTTCACTCGTGATAACCACTGTTGCCAATAGCGAAGACATTGATCGCTACTGAGCTGATGAACCTGACAATGGGTGCCGTCTTCGTAGGCATAGATCAGAACCACTTCTTTAACATCCAATGGATGATCGGTTTCATAATTAATGGCACCTAAATAGGCGACCGCTTGTAACGGATTGTCGTAAATATCTTTCAGCGATGGTTTCAACTTTTCCGATGTTTTCCATTCAATTATCATCAGTTTTCCCGAATAATAACCGACACAATCGACAATACCTTTGTAGCAAAGATACGGGTGATAGATTGGGGTTTCACATAACTCGACTTTTTTGATGTCGGTAAAAATAGGAGTCAAACTTTGCCATAGTTTTTCAATATCACCCGTTAGATTAAGTATTGATTCATCTTTGGTATCCAAATAGGTTTTAATATTATGATGAAAGTGTGTGCCTCTGTTCAAGATATTTCTCTGATAGTCTCTGAATCCTTGTTCGCCCAATTGACTGATCTTCAGTTTCTTCCACTTGTCCAATGCTATCAGAGATGACGGAGACATTGTTGAGCTCAAGATTGTACTGACACTCGGATAGTATGTCTGGTCAGCCAAGTCATGATCGGCGCACTGTTTGTTACATTTGATAAACTCTTTCAGATCTTTTTCCAAACGTTTTGCAGAAATTTGTTTGTCTTTCAACAGCGGAAACGACTCGATCGGACAATTGGTCATAATTTGTGCCAATTTCTGTTGCGCCTCATTCTTCAGTGCTGTCTTTGTTTTGGACTTTGCTTTGATGGTCTTCGTTGTTGTTGTCGTCGTCGTTGTTGCCAATTGTCTCGTTATACAAGTGATGCCGACATTTGATTTCTTCTTCGATGTCTTCACTAACTGATTATTCAATGCTGGAATCAATTGATGCAAACATCTTGCTTGCGATGATCGCCGCCGCCGGCGATGACAAAGCAGTGATTTGTCATTTAAAACATTTGTTGTAAAATATTTGTATTGTTTGCCACCATTTCCTCTGAAAATATCAACAACCAGTGGTAACTTCTTTAGCGAAAGCATAACAAAAGAGAAATCAAATATTCTTCTACAGTAGTGATAGGTCTTAACGAAAGACGACTTTGAAAGTTGTCGTCAAAAAAAACAAAGCAATGAATGCTTTGATTGAAAGCCTTTGAATTTAGTAAACACTTTGAGGTCACGTGTTATGCATTGACAGCGATTGGCAGTCAATGTGTTATTGAAATCAAACACAACATTACTTTACATTCAATTGAATACATTGTAAACACAATAATAGACAACAAATACTTTTTACAGCTTTTTATTAGTTAAAAGAGTCTTAAATCGGACACTAAATTATGTCACTATTGAAGACACTGTCGTTGGCGATGACCAGAATCGGCAGACCTGTTATCGGGAGTGCCCATAGTGTCCGATGCATGAGTGACGCCAGTTTTGTCCATCGAGAAGCCGATTTGGACACCAAGACGTTTGAATTTACCGAAGAAAATAAAAAAGTACGATTTTTTTTGTTTTCCGTCCCGATTTGTGGTCAATTTAATTGATATTTTTAAATAAAATTCTGGTCGTTGTCCTCACAGAGAGCCGAAGCACTGCTCGGTATATATCCGGAAGGCTTTAAACAGGCGGGAGTCATACCACTTCTTGATTTAGCTCAACGACAATATGGTTTGTACTATTGGACCTATTGGTGACACTTTTATTGCAAATACCGCTAACTATAAAACAACCGATTTTCTTTGTGCCGACAGGTTGGCTACCATTGAAGGCCATGAACTATGTGGCCGATTATCTGCAGATGCCTCGTATGCGGGTCTACGAAGTGGCCACCTTTTACACGATGTTCAATAGGGCACCCGTCGGTATGTAGTTGTGGTGGTATTGATAATGACTTGATCTCACAAACACACACACACAGATTACAATTGATTGTAAAATACCTGATTTTTTTAAATAGGCAAATATCACGTCCAGGTGTGCACAACCACACCGTGTATGTTGAGAGGCGCTCAAGAACTATACGAATATACCAGAGACCTATTGAAAGACGACAAAGACTTCAAAGTGATTGAAGTCGAGTGTTTGGGCGCCTGTGTTAACGCACCAATGATTCAGATCAACGATGACTACTATGAAGATCTGACCAATGAAGATGTTAAGCAAATTGTGGCCGACTTAAAGGCCGGCAAAAAACCGAAAGCTGGACCGTCGGCCAAAAGCGGTCGACTTGCGTGCGAACCGAAAGGTGGTCTCACTTCGCTAACAACGCCGCCACCCGGACCGGGATTCGGGTGTCGACCAGATTTGTAAATTAAATAGTAATAAATGTAGACTAAATAGTAAATGTTTTTATTAAAAAACAAACAAACAATATTAATAATGACTTAGTTATTGAATTTTAATTCATATTTAAATTAAATGAAAATTCTGTAAATTAATCAAATTTTATCAGTTGTTTTCAGTCTATAATAATATGTTATATACTGTATATTATATAATAAATGCAAATATAATTATCACGAATTTGTGGCAAAATATTCATTTGCAAAGCGAACCGAATCTAACTTAACGTTAAATAATGGATGAATTGGTACCTTTAAAATACAAAAATGTAATACATTTTTAATATTTTCGGATAATTAACGGTAATATAAAATACTAACCACTTTGTTATCCTGAGATCCGACTATCAATTGACTTGACAGTGCATTTTGAGCTATACTTAGTCCGGCCAACACATAGCAAGTGTGATAATAGTCCCGGTGTTTGCCCGGCTTATCAATTAGTCCGCCATTCTTCTCCTGACAACAGCACAGAATATATTCTTGTAATGCTTGCTGATTGAACAACCATTTGTCGACTGGCATTAAGGACGGATCTGATTGGAGATCCACAAAGAAGTTAATAAATTTTACTATATCTAAAAACTTCAAGAGTTCATACACTTTTGTGCCAAATATATGTGAACAATAGGAAGAATAGCCGCCTCCCAGAAGGAATAGCAGCCATCGACCAGTTTGTTTGTTCTGTGGGTTATATAATAATAATAAGTAATAAAATTGATTATTATTTTTTGTCACACAAGATATGGTGGTGGTGTTGATGTAGGTATACCTTCCGGCAAATCCGCCCTCATATCTGTGCTGTTTATTGATAACCCATTTCAATAGTGACTTAACATTGCATTTGTCTAAACAGTTTAGTAGTACAAGAGCTGCCACCGCACAGAATGTATAGCCACCGTGAGCTTCGTGTTCCGGAGCTGCACCGAAGCCACCTTCATATGTCTGACACGAGAGCAGCCATTCGGGAGTATTTTCAAAAAGATTGTCGTCATCAATACCAATAAGTTTGGCCACAGATATGGCACAGTAGGCACCTCTGAGAATATATAATTATAAGTAAATGAGTAAAGAAATCAATTTAAAAAAAGCAAATTAACGGATAAAAATATAAACCGGATATCAATTTCACCGCCGAAATGCATCTTAAATGACCCGTCATTTTGTTTCATTTGTAGCAAAAATTTCTTGATTTGGTTTCTGTCGATGGATTTCAAGGCCTCTTCAGTGGATAGTGTGACCAATGCATTGACGGCGGCTAACAAACATTCAGACAAATTTGTTTAATTATATGAATCTTTAAAATCTATTATTGAAACTACCATATGTTGTGGCCAAATGTGATATCTGGTGTGGTCCGCCCCCATACCCGCCCTCCTTATTGGTACATTTGCTTAAGAATTTGATCACATCGTGAGCATTGATAGCTAATAATTAGTTATTTGAAAAATAGTTAATTAAATTTATTATTAAATACTGTATTATATACTTAGTTCGGAATCGGCCTCAAGTATGGCCAGCGAATGAGTGATCCAATAGGTAAGCCACGGACGGGAGGCGTCCAGACATTGGAATGATTGATGTAATGGATGGGTTAGTCCGCGGACTAAATATTTTAGGTGTTTCTCTCGTAATAATTGTGGAACTCTTTGTGAGTGATAGTCAACAGCAACAAAAAAATATCTTAGATTTTGAACTAATTTTTTAAAAATAAATTAATATCTCACTGATTATCATCACCGCTGGATTTAATTGACTCTTCGATCACATCATAGCATTCCTCAATTGTATTCTCGACTTTCCTCTAAAAAAAATTAATGTCAAATTAAGACCAAAAAAAAACTAAATTATTGGATACTTTAATATAAACAATAATTTCTATTATCTATTTCTAATGTCTATTAATTTTTTAATCAACTATAATGTATGTATGGATTAATTAATGTATGAATGCGTTAAAAATAAGTCATTGATTTAGTCTTAATCTGTGATTATTATTATTATTACTTGTTCTTCACTGGTATGGCTAACGAGTCCATCGTTATTATACTTGCGAAGCAAATCCTTTTGAAGACATCTTAACATTGTTTGTATGTTTTTTTGAGCCTAAAAATCATTTAAGAAAACAGAGAAAAAAACAATTATCAGTTAATCCAACCAACAAAAAACAACTAAAAATTTTTTTGGGCATTAATTTAATTGAAACGGAAAAGTCGTGGGATTTTCATATATTTATATATATTTATTCTTGTATTCAAAGAACTGAATGATAACCTGAAAACCTACTTAAGAGATGAAAGAGAGGGAGAAGTATATAGAGAGAGAGCACTGGTATATAATATATGTATGTTTTTATATTTTAGTTGGTGTTGTGGTGTCGTTGTCAATGATCAATGGTATCACCAATTATGGCAATCGAGGGCCGGTCTCTCCGCCAAAACAAGAGTTGTCTCACAAATACTTAACAAACACTTTACAACTTTGAGGCACACAGTTAGCTATTTTTCTGTGTGTATGTATATATGTATGTGCGCTCAGTTATGGCAACTACAGTATTATTATTATTATTATTTAATATTATTATTTGTTGACAGATTGCATATCATATACACATATTTATTATATATATATATATATATATACATGTCCTTCAACTACATATATTATAGACGACAGTCCATTGAAGACATTTAATCCGTTTGAAGTGCTGCTGATAATCGTCAAAGTGATCGACAAGTTTTTATACCTCTAAAACAAAATGTTTTAAACATATGTCCATCTGTGACACACTGTATATATTATACTGTAGTATTAGTTAACATAATAAACACACATTTTTCCAATAGTATCGGTGCTCTGAAAAACCTGTGCTATAATAGCCTACACTAGGGGTGGGGTCTCTCTCCTCTCACATTAGCCCTAACCTGACGTCAAGTACATAGCCATACAAACTGAATGACTTTCATAGAGAAGAGAGAGAGAGAGAGAGTCTATAGTTTTATGAAACAGTTTTAATGAATTAGTAAAGGATTTGTTTGTTTTTTTGACTGTGTCTTCAAATTTCGCACACATCTGGTCAACAAATTGTGTCCAAAATCGCCGATATTGTCCAACAATGTCGTCGAGTACTTCCAATATGTTTTGCAGCCGATGTAATGAGGGTTTCGAGGAAAGAGAAAAGATTGTCAATTCAGGTAATTGTCTCATAATTTTGATCATCAGTTTTGTTTGTAATTAAAACATTAATTTTTATCATGAATTTAATATTTGGATAGAAAATTAAATAGAAAAATAATAATTATCAAGATTTAAAAATAAAAAAATAAAATAAAATATATTCTAGGTATTTTTATTACAATGTAAATACTTTTTTATATATATAAATCATATATTAATATATCCATGATACATTTGTTTTTTGTTTTGTTAACTAATATAAGGAAAAAAAGTAATGTACAATTAATTAATACAAATAAAATTTACTATTGATAGTATCTATATTATTTATTTATTAGTTTGTTAGTTACTATTTATTAGTTAAATAAATTTTGTTAGTTAAATTATTATATATATATAGTTATATATCATATATACCGTAACTGAATATTGTCTAGACTAAAAGTGATCAAGTTACATTGTTGTATGAAATTAATTATTTCTATAAGAAAATTAATTGTATGATAATATTGATGTTTGAATAAATCATATCTACAATTGATAATAAATTAGGGATTTTTTTTATTGTATTCTTAATAACCGAAATAACCAAAATTGAAAATTACTAAAATGTTTGACCCCATTGATGTCTACCCAATGATTTAGGTGGTGAGGTATGGCATCAGTCGTGTTTTGTTTGTGCCCAATGTTTTCGTCCGTTTAGTAAAGACGCGATTTTCTACGAGTTTGAGGGCCGGAAGTACTGCGAACACGACTTCCACGTACTGTTCGCCCCGTGCTGTGGAGCCTGTCATGAGTTTGTCATCGGTAATAACACTAGACCCGAGACTACTAGGCCGGGCATTCAATTGATAATAATAAACTTTGAAATTTACTAATTATATGTATTCATTAATTTTTAATAATATAAAAAAGGTCGAGTAATTAAAGCGCTTAACAACAATTGGCATCCGATGTGCTTCCGGTGCGAGTTATGTCAGACAGCACTCGCCGATCAGGGATTCTTCAAGAATAAGGGTCGCGCCCTCTGTAATGACTGTAATAATAAAGAAAGAGCCGCAGCTGTCGGCAAATATATATGCTTTAAGTGCCATTCAATTATCGACGAGGGGGCGCCCATTAAATATAAGGCTAGTCGACTAATATAAAAAAAAAGATTATTATTATTGTTAATTAAAATAATAGTATTGTAAATAAATTTTTACTACAATTCCACATTAATTTTATAGGGCGAACCATACCATCCGTATCACTTTAACTGCAAAAACTGTGGCCAAGAACTAAACTCGGACGCCCGGACCATCAAAGAGGAACTCTATTGTCTCCGATGTCACGACAAAATGGGTATTCCTATATGCGGTGCCTGTCATCGACCTATTGAGGAACGTATTGTTACGGCATTGGGCAAGAACTGGCACGTCGAGCACTTTGTCTGTGCCAAATGGTGACTAATATTTGTTGTTGTTGTTGAAGTTATAAATTATGACAAACCTTATTGACAAAATTATAAATATTGATTAATTGATTAATATTTTTAACAGTGAAAAGCCATTTTTGGGTCACAGACACTACGAAAAGAAAGGGTTGGCCTATTGTGAGACACATTATCACCAATTGTTTGGCAATCTATGCTTTGTCTGTAATCAAGTAATACAGGTATATTGAAAGTGACATCAATTTGTTGTGTGTTTGTGTAACTATTATTAATTTTTAAAAAAAATGTTAACTCTTAATAGGGGGATCAGGTGACAGCATTGAACAAAGCCTGGTGTGTGGACCACTTCCAGTGTTCGTGGTGTGACACCAAACTCAGCCAGAAGTCCAAGTTTTATGACGTCGACCTCAAGCCTTGCTGTAAGAATTGCTATTCAAAGGTATGTCTCTTCAAACTATTCATATACTGTATTATTATTATTATACATTTGCTGTGCTTTTTATCAATCGTTTTGCTAATAATTTATTAATTTTTTTAAATGATTTTTTTGTGGTATAGTTCCCGACAGAACTGAAAAAGCGGCTCAAAAAACAATACACTGAAAGAACAATTACCACCAAAAGTATTCTTTAAAGAATGGGAGAGAGAGAGACAAACACAGACATCCCATTAGTTCATAATTTACTTAATATAATAAACAATATATTATTATTATTATATAATAATGTTATACTAAGTTATTATTTTGATGGCATTTTATGTTTTTAAACAACAATATATATATACAATAATTTAACATTTTATTTAAGCATATATTTTACACATAAAGTTTGTTGTTGTTTTTTATATATAAATAGTAACTATATATACATACATTGATTTTTTTTCACTAACATTTTATTAACGGTATATTTTTATTTAATATAGATTTTAAAAGATTTTTATAGTCTTAAAAAAATTTGTTCATAAATTTTAATATAATAATAAATAATTAATTTTCAACAAAAAAACTAGAAACTTGTATAAGCAATGTCTTTAAAAAGTGCCAAAAATTTTATAATATAAAATAAATTATTAAAATATAATTATTAATTTATTGATTGTATTCATTGAAATTAATCTATTTTTATGAATAAATTACTAATAGCTAATCAATTTAATTAAATTACTTATAAATATTTAAAAAACATCAAAACATATTTTATAGAGTATTATTTAAAATATTAATAGTAAATAAATTATATTTAGATTATTATTTGTTTCTCTAAATTAAATAAAAAAATTTAATTATGATATTAAAATTATAAATAATGAATAAAATTATAAGACTAATAATCTATTGATAAATGCAACTATTAGTTTGAATATATTTTTATATTTGTTTATATTTATTTAACTGCTCAGAACGCATACCTGTCCTCCCTTAGCTTATGTTAAGTTAGGGAACGGTCATCAACGACCACAACAGCCGGACCACTAGTGGTCAGCGTTGGGTCGATATCACGCTCAGACAGGTATGCCATTCACTCGTCATCGCAGTTAAGGCTGACTTCACATATTGGATGTGAAGCTAAGGAAACATACTATAGAAATGATTCTGTGAAGTATGATCTTAAAGCTAACCTTTCCTTAAACTACACATCCCATCGAATCACATGTATTATGTGTTACAGTCTATAAAGATTTTTATTAATTAATTTTTGCAAAATTTAAAATTAATATTAAATCAAATTGACTCCCAATATCTAAATTAAATTAAATGCAAAATATATTTTAATGTAATTTATTCTAATGTAATCAATATTTAAATCTATTTAATATAACATAACTAAATCTAATGTTTATTTTCAATACATTTAATTAGATTTCAATGATAAGAAAAATTTTAAGATATAAAATTTAATATTTTAGATACTATTTAAAAATGTTAACTTTATTATAATTTCTAGTTATCTTTTAATCTCAAACTTGTAAGACTAATCTATCATTAGATCCAACTATTATATAAATGATAACTTAATATAGACTCAGTTTGATATAGAAATTAATAAAAACAAATAAATGACAAAATTAAATAAAATTTTATTTTATTATTATATTAAAACTATTTATATTTGTAAAGTTTATTACCAGTTTATTACAGCAATATTGTATTTTTAAATTAAAATATTAATATCACATTGAATATAGAGTATGAAAATATATTATTATATACAGATAAATTTTAGGATTTGAAAAAATAAAGATAATCTCAACAACAAAAAATAAATAGCAAATAAATATTGATATTAATTGTTTTAAACATTTCTTTCTACACGAAAGATAACTCTTTGTTCAAAATTAGATGGAATATCAAACAACGATTCCTCGAAGTCTGATTTGAGATCAAATGACTTGAGTTTCCATTTCATGTAAACGTTTTGTTTGAGTGGATAGTCGATGAATACTGGAAATCCTTTCGGCAAATCATCGATCAGTCGAGTGATAAATGCGATCAACTGTTGACTAAGCAATTGTTCCGCTTCTTTGACTATCCATTTCCATTGGAAACTAATTTCATCGGTCAAACCGACAACAATGGACACACGTTTGGCTTCGGATTTCTCTATTTTTTGTCGTCCAAAGTGAGGCCACTGACCTTTCGGTGAATTGATGTATTCTTCCCAACTGATATGTCGGGCCAACGGCGGCGGCGGTGCTAACGATTCAATTACATTATTTGCGCTGTTTTCGCGGTTTATCATATGCTCGGTTCGTGTCTTAGTTGTTAATTCAATGGCTAACGATTCAAACACATTAGTGCTATATTTGCCAACCTTTTTGGTGACCATTTTCTTAAAGATGGGTACTTTCGTATGTTGTGTTGTCGTCTGAGTTGTTATATCCAACTTAACGCATATATTCTCCTTCTGTAACAAACTTCTTATCTCTTCATCAGCAGTAACGCCACTAAATATCTGATTGATAACACCATTCCAGTCATCATAAGTAACCCTTTGGTAAACCGGAATATTTTCGCCGACCATTATATTTACAAATGTGTCACTCGTTTGGTTCAAATTGAAGATTAAATGAAATTCTTCATGTTTTGTGTGAAATGTATCAGTTGTTTGCACATCGACTCTAATTCTGAGACCCTTTTTGTTGACCAAAAACTTGAACTCTGGMGGACCAGTGATGGCGTCCGGATTCAAGTCTTTGATTTGGAAATCAAAACTTAACTYAAAGTCGTCTTTAATACTATCGACAAGTTTGTATAGATTTTCTCGTTTTAGAAATCGAAATATTCGGTTAGAGATCGCGTCGTTCAATATCTTAATAGTCGGTATGTGTCCATAGCTGATGGCCTCATTAAAAGACGCCCAATTGAGTTCATTGCGGGCAGTGGTCAGTGCACCGCTTTTCAACAATAGTTCAACGCACCGGTGATTGCCTTTCATGATAGCTATAAGTAGTGCAGTGTTTCCGTGAATGTCCTGACGGTTGACATCTTTTTCATTCATCTTCTGCAACAACTTTTCGACAGTTTCTATCTGTCCGCTGAAGACAGCCTTATGTAGAGACAGATTACGGTTGAAATMATCCTCTTTGGATGTCATACTCTCAAAAACACTYCACTCTTAGCTTTAATAAAAAAWTTAACAGTTTATAATTAAAACCAAATATGAACCAATAATACAAATCAAATRAAAATATTTAACAAATTAAATGAATCGCGAGATTTACATTTATTATTAGTAATAAATATTAATAAATAACAAATAAGTTTTTAAACATTTTTCTTATCATTGATAAGTTATTTTTATTGAAAGATTATGYTTTTGAAAATATGCATTAGATTTAATTATATTGTACTTAAATATAATAGATTTAAATATTGATTACATTGCAATAAATTACATTAAAATATATTTTGCATTTAATTTAATTTAGATATTGGGAGTCAATTTGATTTAATATTAGTTTTAAATTTTGCAAAAATTAATTAATAAAAATCTTTATAGACTGTAACACATAATACATGTGATTTGATGGGATGTGTAGTCTAAGGAAAGGTTAGCTTTAAGATCATACTTCACAGAATCATTTCTATAGTATGTTTCCTTAGCTTCACATCCAATATGTGAAGTCAGCCTTAACTGCGATGACGAGTGAATGGCATACCTGTCTGAGCGTGATATCGACCCAACGCTGACCACTAGTGGTCCGGCTGTTGTGGTCGTTGATGACCGTTCCCTAACTTACCATAAGCTAAGGGAGGACAGGTATGCGTTCTGAGCAGTTAAATAAATATAAACAAATATAAAAATATATTCAAACTAATAGTTGCATTTATCAATAGATTATTAGTCTTATAATTTTATTCATTATTATATAATTTAATTTTTTATTTAATTTAGAGAAACAAATAATAATCTAAATATTTATAATTTATTTACTATTAATATTTTAAATAATACTCTATAAAATATGTTTTGATGTTTGTAAATATTTATAATTAATTTAATTAAATTGATTAGCTATTTAGTAATTAGTAATTTATTCATAAAAATAGATTAATTTCAATGAATACAATCAATAAATTAATAATTATATTTTAATAATTTATTTTATTTTATAAAATAAATATTGATTTTATCACAATTTCTACATATTTTTATATCAAATTCTAAGACTAATTAATTAGTAGGTCCGACCTTTATATCAATGATAAGTTAGTTATGTTTTTGTTTAATTAAAAAATTTCATTAAAAAAAGTTTTATTATATTTTTATACCAATGAATAAACAAATATTATTTTTTACTGTATATACAGTAGAAACAGGAGTATATTAATTTCAAATTAAATATAGAGTATGAAAATATAGATTTAGAAAAAAATAAAGAAAATCTCAAAATAATACTTTTTTTAAAAAATTAATTCAAATAAATATTGATATTAATTGTGTTCACCATTTCTTTCTACACGAAAGATAACTCTTTGTTCAAAATTAGGCGGAATTTCAAACAGCGATTCATCGAAATCTGATTTGAGATCAAATGACTTGAGTTTCCATTTCATGTAAACGTTTTGTTTGAGTGGATAGTCGATGAATACTGGAAATCCTTTCGGCAAATCATCGATCAGTCGAGTGATAAATGCGATCAACTGTTGACTAAGCAATTGTTCCGCTTCTTTGACTATCCATTTCCATTGGAAACTAATTTCATCGGTCAAACCGACAACAATGGACACACGTTTGGCTTCGGATTTCTCTATTTTTTGTCGTCCAAAGTGAGGCCACTGACCTTTCGATGAATTGATGTATTCTTCCCAACTGATATGTCGGGCCAACGGCGGCGGCGGTGCTAACGATTCGATTACATTAGTTGTGCTGTTTTCGCGGTTTATCATATGCTCAGTTCGTGTCTTAGTTATCAATTCAATAGCTAACGATTCAAACACATTAGTCGTATATTTGCCAACCTTTTTGGTGACCAACTTCTTAAAGATGGGTACTTTCGTTTGTTGTGTCGTCATCTGAGTTGTTATATCCAACTTAGCGCATGTGTTCTCCTTCTGTAACAAACTTCTTATCTCTTCATCAGCAGTAACGCCACTAAATATCTGATTGATAACACCATTCCAGTCATCATAAGTGACCCTTTGGTAAACCGGAATATTTTCGCCGACCATTATAATGACAAATGTGTCACTCGTTTGGCTCAAATCGAAAATTAAATGAAATTCTTCGTGTTTTGTGTGAAATGTATCAGTTGTCTGTACATCGACTCTAATTCTGAGACCCTTTTTGTTKACCAAATACTTGAACTCTGGCGGACCAGTGATGGCTTCCGGATTGTAGTCTTTGATTTGAAAATCAAAACTCAACTCAAAGTCCTCTTTAATACTGTCGACAAGTTTGAACAGATTGTCTCGTTTGAGGAACCGAAGTATTCGGTGAGAGACTGCATCATTCAATAACTTAATGGTCGGTATGTGGCCATAGCTGATAGCTTCGTGTACAGACATCCAATTAAGTTCATTGCGGACAGTGGTCAGTGCACCGCTTTTCAGCAATAATTCAACGCATCGGTGATTGCCTTTCATAACAGCTATAATCAGTGCAGTGTTACCGTGAATGTCCTGACGGTTGACATCTTTTTCGTTAATCTTCTTCAATAACTCTTCAAGAGTTTCTATCTGTCCGGTGAAGACAGCCTTATGTAGAGACAGATCACGACTGCAATCATCCACTTTAGATGCCATAGTCTCACAAACAGTGGATTTTGTTATTAAATAATTATAATATAATATATAGTATATATTATAATATATACGATATAATCAACAGATTATAATTGAAATCAAATTTGAATTTTCATATCAAATGGAAAACATTTAACAAATTTAATGAATCACGAGATTTAYTCCTATTATTAGTATTAGTAGTAACTTATTATTATAAATAAGTTTTAAAACTTTTTTCTTATCAATGATAAGTTATTGTTATTGAAAGCTAATTAAATGTATTGAAAATAATCATTAGATTTAGTTATATTTTATTAAATAGATTTAAATATTGATTACATTGCAATAAATTACATTAAAATATATTTTGCATTTAATTTAATTTAGATATCGGGAGTCAATTTGATTTAATATTAATTTTAAATTTTGCAAAAATTAATTAATAAAAATCTTTATAGACTGTAACACATAATACATGCGATTCGATGGGATGTGTAGTCTAAGGGAAGGTTAGCTTTAAGATCATACTTCACAGAATCATTTCTATAGTATGTTTCCTTAGCTTCACATCCAATATGTGAAGTCAGCCTTAACTGCGATGACGAGTGAATGGCATACCTGTCTGAGCGTGATATCGACCCAACGCTGACCACTAGTGGTCCGGCTGTTGTGGTCGTTGATGACCGTTCCCTAACTTACAATAAGCTATGGGAGGACAGGTATGCGTTCTGAGCAGTTAAATAAATATTTAAAAAATAGTAAAATATATAAAAGATATTCAAACTAATAGTAGATTTATCATTCGTTTATTAATCTCATAATTTTTTATTTATTACATTATTTTTATTAATACAATTAACAAAAAAGTATAATTTCAAAATATAATAAAAAATTATTAAATTATATAAATTTAATCAATAATGAGGTAGTATTTTAATGCATTATACGTCTGAAATGCATTTGTTGTTCAAAACTTTCATATATTGTTTAAACATAATATCAAAACATTATTTAAATGTTATTAGATTATAAAAATTATCAAAAAAATCAAGTATCTATATTTATATTTATCTTAAAAGTTGAAAAATCAAATTATATATATTGATAACAAAAATAATATTTTAACATTACTTAAAATTTAGTAATTTTTAAAAAAATGTATTACATATGTAAAAAAAAGTCTAGAATTTCAAATCTAATATTACATTTTCAATAATAATAATAATAGTAATAATAATAAGTATCGGTATTCAAATAAACCACAAGAAACAGACATTTATAAACACTACTTGATTATTGAAAAATACAATAATTATTACTTCACCGGTAATTATGGCATCAATAGATGAAAAACAATTAAACAATTTTTTTTAGTATATAACATATACATACAGTATAACATTATTGTTATCGCGGTTTTTCTTAATTAACAATGATTGGCACATAATAGGAACAAATATATAATATAAAACATTTAAATTTTTTATAATAATAATAAAATTACTAGAAATATGGCAGTATTTTTTTAATATATAGTATTACTAATACTAAAATGAGGTATTTATGGCATTATCTGAAAAACAAAAACATTTAACGAGTTAGCAATGATACAAACAATTTTGCTGTTAAAGAGAATTTTTTTTCAAAAAAAAAAACAAATATTTTTTGTTTAGTACCCAAACATTATATAATTTTATGTTTACAACTATTTAAGGCACAAACAATTCATAATTACTATATTAGTAAAAAATATTTCTCTTTTATATACAAAACTAATAGCAATATTATAGTAAAAAAATATTATTGATACTATAAATTTTAATTTAAGAAAAAATACTATTTTCTTTTAGAAAAAATATTATTATTTCTCCAATACTTTGACTAATATTTTTTTTGTCATTTTTGGTTAAAATTTCTATTTAAAAAAAACTTGGATATCAATGATTAAAGTCCGGGATTCAACACAAAACTATTTGACATAAGACTTTTCAATTGAAGATATTTCAGACAAAAAAAATATATATATATGAAAACAACTAAATTACAAAATATAGTAACTATTCATTAATTATATTATATAATTATTAATAAATGGTATGTATTCATGAGTAACTGATACTTATTACGGTAATAGTAGTTACCGGTATATTTATATATATAAAAAAATAAAGTAATAATATCAACTAAATATTCATTTCTAGTTATAATAATAATAGTAATAATCGTAATAAACGTCTAAACAATCGATATTATATAATCACTTTTGTTGAGCATTTCAATCCATTTGTTTTTTTATAAACTTGAGGTATAAATCTTGAGGTAATCTTGAGGTAGATTTGGGTTCAATTAAAAATTGTTTCATTTGTTTGTATTTTCTGTGCGCTTTCATTATTTGTTTGCTTTTTCTTAATTAAAAATAATAATATTATTTCATTTAGTGATCTCTTTAATAATCTTGTATTTCATTTCATTTGAGGCACTTATTTGAGCAATTAATGAATGACTTGATCTATACTTGTATGATATGGACCTATTGGAAGGCCTGATTGAAGTGAGGTAGTGATGGATTGACGTCCACAGAGAATGCTGTGTGGATCGGGGGGTGGTTTGAGGTAATTGGGTTATGATTATTATTATTGGACACCATATTAGACACCGGTATACCGAAAGCTGCTACAGCGGTCGTTGTTTGGCCGCATGAACTGTTCGACGGCAGCGGCCCTGTATTGGTTACCAAACAGTTAGGTATAAATGATGGACAATGATTGGCCAATGGATAGGTGGACAGTGCACTGGAATTCACTGGAAATGTAAAGTAATGGTGCGGTGTTAGTGGCGATGGTGTCTCACTTTTATGGGCATTGGGCGACATCATGTCATCAAAATTATGACATCCAGGCATGTAATGACATAATGACTCGTTTGCATGGATTCCGGCTGTCATCCCAATGCCATTAACATTGGCGTTACAATTGAGTGGATAATTATTATTGTTTGGACAGTGATTGTCTACGGCACTGGTATTGTGATTATTGTTGACTACTGTGTTGTTGGCCAACAAAACTGAATTCTGATTACCCGAATAGTTGAACGTCTGTTTCATATGACTGTTGTGGTGATGATTGTGTGCCATTTGGTGACCCAATACAGGAATGGCAGTCATTTTTGGCTCAATTAGATTTGGCATTGTTTGGCATTTGATGTTTGCTGAGTTTGGATGAGCTGAAGAACTCGACGAACCTTTCATTGTGGTCGATGACCGGGTGTCCCGATTGTGGCTTTTCTTTGCGTGCCGTACTAAGTGATCTTTACGTCCAAATCGTTGCGTACAGTAAGGACAGGCAAAGTTTCGGATACCTGTGTGCACTACGAGATGTCTTTTGACGTCTTTGCGGGTGAAAAACATACCTATAAGATGGCAAAACAAAAGTCAATAAAGTGATCAATAGATTGATTCGTTAAAAATAATAAGACATACGTTCGCATTGATCGCATTTGAACCGTCGCTCCGATGGCGGTCTTTTTGTTGGTCGCGAACCGCCGCTATCGACACACTTGACTTTTGGCTGCGATTTTTTGACGGCCACTGAGGCAGCCATCGACTGACTCAATGGCATAGCTGTCCTATTGTTGGTCTCAATAGTGATACTGTGGTTTATGTTCATTACGTCCGAAGAACTAATCGATTCATTGGTTGTCGTTGTTGTCAATGAGTTTCTCATTGTCTGTAAAAACCCGTCATATTTTTGGTGGTCAAGACTTTTTGGCACACGATTTGTCCTACAAATGACATCATAAACAAAATCTTATAAACAACTGATATATTAATTGAGATCAATTAAATCAATTGTTTGTTTCGCTAACCATTGAGGCAATGAAGTGGTGGTGTATATGAAGACAATGGAGGGAAAAATATGAAGAGCTCTCAAACGTTTGGATCAATTGATGGCACAGTTGTCTTATATGGTGTCAAAAAAAACTTTGTASGKCTTGGCACGTCTTGCGGTGGGATGTTTTGTTGGCCACTAAATAAACGGTGTTGTCTTTGAGGGATCTATTATTTTTGGTGATCACTACCTATTGGTTGAATGCAAACAAAGACGCCATAACTGAAGGTCACATGTATTGCATGTCTGTCCACAAGTGTTTGACACCGAAGCCGAACATACAGTATAACAAACAAACATAATATGCAATCTATGGCTTTAATATACAGTAGTAATAAATTTTTAAAAAAATACATTCAATGCAATCACATAATAATAATCACATGTGTATTGCATTATTATACGCTATTATTGTTTTTTTTGTTTATTTGTAATTTTGTTATAATTTGTTTACTTTATTTTTTTTGAATAATTTTTAAAAAAATTTGTTTTTACTTTTTTTTCTTTTGTTTGTTTATAATTTACATAATTTGTTGAATTATTAATTTTTAAAAATAATACTTAAAAAACATTTTACAAGAGTTTAAAATCCAAGTTTTCTGCACTTTATTGAAAAGTTTTGGTGCATTTTGTTGTTGTTGGTTAATAATGGGACAAATAATTATTTATTTATTTTATAATAATAATAATTTTTTTAAAAAAAGTAATCATAAGTGTAATCAAAAGTTTGTATGCAATTTATTTGCTAATAATAATTACAGGTAATTATATTTTTTTTATTGATTACAAATTTTAAAGTATGTTATGTTATTTGTTAAGCACAATCATTGCACTAAATTAGCACTATTTGCACTTAAAATTATAATTATGATGAAAATGAATGAATCGACATAAAAATTAGCAATAGTTTAGATTTTTCAAATTTTTATTTTATTGACTAATCATTAGATTATTTATTTTAAAAACAAAACAATTTATATATATTATATATATAATATATTTTACCGTAAATTGACTGTCAAAAAAATATTTTTTTAAAAATCAAATTATCGAAACATGATAATAACAAAAATAATTGAGAAAAAAACAAAAAACATATATGTATTGTATAATAAAAAATATAGACAAAAAAATTATATCAATTAATATAAATTGGATCCAAAAAAATTTCTATTTCATTGGAAAAATAGATGTATATGATATATATAAATATATATATATATATATAATTTCAAATAGACTAGTTTTATAGTTAATTTTTTAAAAACTAATTTTTGGCATAAATTGTTTAAATTAAGTGTTATTTAATTAATAATAAATTTGATTTTTTGTTGTTATTGTATTCAAATAGAGTATTTACAAAAAAATTGTCAATTAAACTAATATCATGTGTTCATTATAATGATTTTATAATAAATAATTTACAAACAAATCATTTGATCGTTTAATTATCTACTGTTAAGCAATTAAGCAGTTAGTTTTTTAAATAAATATACTGTTAAATATAGGAAATGTGTAAATAATAATATAAGTTAACAAAAATAACTTAAATAACATTTTTCTTTTTTTTAAATATAGGCAACGAATGATTCAATATTTTTTTTTAATTATTATTATTAAACTAAAATTCCTTAAATAACGAATTTTAAAAATATATATTATTTTGAAATATATATTCAAAAATTATGTTTTAAAAAATACAATGAGGTTTTGAGTTGAAATATTCGGTCCACAATTTTTATTTATTTTTGATAAACCAGGTCTTAAACTAAGATAAGATTAATTTGTTTGCAAATATCTATCGACAAAAAACCATTTATTTATTTCTTTAATTTACCTAAACTTTCTGCTTCTTCACTATCGTCAGCGGAGTCCCTCTTTTTCAACGAAAAACAGTTGATCCTGAAGTGATCACACATTTGTCGTACAATACAAACAGCGTAATGAATGTGACTTAAGGTAAACAATAGAGACATGGCTCGCAAAAGAAGTAGTTCCTGCGACTGACTGATTGGYAACAATGTTACCACTAAGACAATGGCCGCTAACGGCATCAAAAACCAGTTGATGGCTTCACATCGTGTTGAAGACATTTGACTAACTATTAACCGACACTAAAAGTTTTTAAAACAAAAAACAAATCAATCAATAAAATCAATTATTTTTTTTTGTAATTAAAAGTTAATTACTAACAGCAATATTTGAGAAGACAGTTCCGACCATAAAATAAAAGCACCTTGGATCAATTTCAATAATATTGTTTGGGGAAAATACGGCCCAAGCAGTGGTAGTCGAAAATAAGACTAAGAGAGGCATCAAAGGCCGGAATGACTCCCAAAAATTAGGCTGTTTTTGGGTTTTACAGGAATATACATTATATATGGTGACGGGTGCTGACGCTATAAAACAACCAGCTATTTTTTGGTAGATATATATATATATATATATATACCGGTATATAGTGATCAAAAATAATTAGTAAATTTTAATTATTTACTGGTAATAATAATATATTTTAAAACTTAAGCTAATCCTACCGTAAGATATCAATTCAAACAGTCGGCCACTGGTAATCTCAAGGAACGGCATCTCGAACTTCCATAACTTATACGACCAGAAACTAGTAGCCAAATACATGATCATTAGAGCTATTTGGGAGACATCGTAACTCCAGGGCAGGTATAGTATGCCGGTATTGTATTTTTCCCAATGAGACAAATAAAATGTTATGAATATTGTCCAAAATATGAATAACATTCTCAATGGACACTCGCTATAGTCGGATCGTCCAAAGATTGAATATATACAGAATGGTATGAATAGTGCCGTCCAGCTGTCCATTCCGTGATCCATAAGTTCTCCGAGTGGTCCACTGGAACCGGTACGTCGGGCTTGTTTGCCATCAATGCCATCCAATGTATGGGCTAGAAAGTGATTAACAGCACAGATTARCCAGACCCAAGCGGGCACTGCCGGCCATAAGCGTTTGTCCACTGAATCGCTTGATCCGTAAAAATCTCGGTCGTAAATAGTCAATAGGATGCCGTTGCCCACAGTAAACAGGAAGCCGACAAATGTCAATACATTAGGTGCCAACCATTTGGGAACAATCTGTCACACATAAGGTCATCAGATTATCTTTTAAATCTTATTATTTTATGGATTACCTGAACCGTTAGGTTCCAGAAGGGATGCATCACATAATTGCTAAGAGGGCTGGTGTCCAGTGAACTGTACTGTATATATCAATAGACAATATCATTATTATTAATATTATTATTAGACATAATAACAATTGGTTTCCAAATTAGCAATCATATCATATATAAATATATCATTATTATCACCAATAAATATGTTGTGTATTTAATATATAATGTATGTGTGAAAGTATGCAAATATTTGTATACAATATTTATTTTTATATCACTAATGAATCAATTCATTTGTTGATAAGGACCTACTTAGAGATTATTTGCTTATATATCATATGGCTTATGGCCAACAAATTATTTGTTGTTAATAATAAAATTATCATTAATTTTTTCTGACATATCTATAGCTTTTAAATATATATATATATGTAATAAATAAATGCTGTAAACATGCGATTTGTCGGCAGTTATATTCATATGAACTTTGGATTTAAAACTCAGTTTTTAATTTATAATAATTGCGATTATCATTGAATTGAAAACTAAAATATACAAAAAATAATAATTTGTCTATTTTTATTAAATTATTTTTAATATAAATAAATAGATTTGTTTGTTTGACTAAATAAAAACTATTTAATTTATCATAAATTATTAATATCTTTAATATCATAAATAAATTCATTAATTTTAAAAATAAAAATAATTAATTTAATTATTATAATAATTAAACAAAAATTATATATAAATTATAAAACATTTTTATAATGATAACAAACACATGCAATAATACCTGTCCTATCATTTCCTATTTACTATCATTAATATCATATGTATAATAATTATTAAAATTATAACATAAAATAAAAGTTAATGTAAATATACGAGAAAAAAATTAAACATATTTAACTTAAAATTAGTTATTTTACCTGGATAATAATAATAATTAACAAATAAATAAATAAATAGTTAATAAAAAAATAATTTTTAATACCTTATAATTTTCAAATCCCTTCAAATGAGATTTTGATAGAAATTTGTAATCAAAAATCATTTTTATTATTATTATTATTAAATTAAACAAACAAAACAATTACTTTTATTTATTAAATATATATTTTAGTGTCGGTATTATTATTATTAATAATAATTATAAAATAAATGTTGTTTGGTATGTATTTTCACCACAACATCATTCACTAATCATTTAGTTAAAAGACAATACATTTAATAAGTATTGAGTCATAGCATTGCAATCACACATACAATCAATGGTCACATAAATTGTATTTAATATTTAGTGATAAATAAATATATAAAAAAAAATGTTTTTAACACTACTATTGTTGTCACAGAATATATTGTATAATTAGAAAGTGTGTGTCATTTATATTATTATTAGTAATACAGAGTATAAGTCAATCACACACTGTATATAACTAACTATTAACTGACGGCTTATTTGTTTGTTTTTTACAGTAATTTCTATTACATTAGAAAATACAGTGTTTTATACTGTAATCACTGCAAACAACAAGCGATCGCTTTATTATTATTATTATTATTGGGAGACAAACGCTGTTCAATGCGATTCAATAGCAATGTCCATAAAGTACGTACACATATGTATATAATATTTATATACTGTATATAATACTCAACCGCCGATAATATCCTTAAAAACGATTTTTTAGAGACCAATCGGTTAATTCAATTGTTTTTTAATTTAAATAACAATTATTTTGTTTGTTTGAATTTATATAATAAATTTGATGACAATCTGATATACGATCGGATAGTTTGTCTGACATTTAATCCGTCCATAAAATATTGGCCGTAATTGATGTCTGAATCATATGATTACAGTATGAATGAAATCGTCGTTTTATTTACCAAAAGACGTGTCATTTGTTGTGGTTTTTTCTGTTTGTAATCTCTTCGCGTATTTTAAGAGTTGATCTGAAAAAACATTTACCGACGAGTTTATTGTCCGTAACAACAGTTATCATCGACAATGGTTTTGGCAGATTTGGGCCGAAAGATAACGTCGGCGTTGCGGTCATTGGGCAACGCGACCATCATTAACAAAGAAGTATTGGATGGACTACTGAAGGACATCTGTACGGCTCTACTGGAAGCCGATGTCAACATWAAACTTGTTAAACAATTGCGCGAAAATGTCCGATCGGTTATCGACTTCGACGAAATGGCCGCCGGACTTAACAAACGCCGTATGATTCAGATGGCAGTGTTCAAAGAGTTGGTCAAACTGGTCGATCCGGGTGTCAAAGCCTGGCARCCGATCAAAGGTCGAACCAATATTATTATGTTTGTCGGTCTTCAGGGATCCGGTAAGACGACAACGTGCACAAAGATGGCCTACTATTATCTCCGTAAAGGCTGGAAGTGTGCTCTGGTTTGCGCCGATACGTTCAGAGCCGGAGCTTTTGATCAGTTAAAACAAAATGCAACAAAAGCCAGAATTCCTTTCTACGGTTCGTATACTGAATCGGATCCAGTGGTGATTGCATCAGAAGGTGTCGACAAGTTTACAAAAGAAGGTTTCGAAGTGATTATTGTTGATACAAGTGGTCGTCATAAACAGGAAAGTTCTTTGTTTGAGGAAATGTTGGCCATATCGACGGCCGTCGCACCGAATTTGATTATTTACGTTATGGACGCATCAGTTGGTCAGGCCTGCGAAGGACAGGCCAAGGCGTTCAAACAAAAAGTAGATGTCGGCGCTGTTATTGTGACCAAACTTGACGGTCACGCCAAAGGTGGCGGTGCACTGAGTGCTGTGGCCGCTACACAGTCGCCGATTATATTTATCGGTACGGGTGAACACATCGACGATTTTGAACAGTTCAAAGTGAAACCATTTGTGTCGAAATTGTTGGGAATGGGAGATATAGAGGGACTGATAGACAAAGTTAATGAATTGAAATTAGATGATAATGAAGAACTAATTGAAAAACTAAAACACGGAGAGTTTACACTAAGAGATATGTACGAACAGTTCACAAATATCATGAAAATGGGTCCATTTCATCAAATACTGAATATGATTCCCGGATTCGGTGCCGATCTTATCAAAGGTGCCTCAGAAGCCGAATCGATGTCACGGCTCAAACGTTTGATGACAATCATGGATTCGATGAGCGATTCGGAACTGGATTCACGTGAAGGAGCCAAACTGTTTACCAAACAACCGACACGTATTGTTCGGGTGGCCCGGGGTTCGGGTGTTACACAACGCGAAGTACAGGAACTGTTGACACAGTATACAAAGTTTGCTGCAGTCGTCAAAAAGATGGGCGGAATCAAGGGTTTGTTCAAAGGCGGTGATATGGCTAAGAATGTCAATCAAACACAAATGGCTAAATTGAATCAACAAATGGCTAAAATGATGGATCCAAGAGTTTTGCAACAAATGGGAGGAATGAATGGATTACAGAATATGATGAGACAACTGCAGAGCGCCGCCGGACAACAACAACAACATCATTGACCCATCAATTGATTGATAATTATATTTAATTAATTAGTAATTCAATTATTATTATTATTATTTTTTTGTATAAAATATAAACAGTTTATTAAATATTATTATTGAAATTTATTACATTATATATATATATTATGAATATCTTAAATATCAGTCTCTGCCTTAACTGCGGTCCGCAATAGGAAATGTTGTGGTCAGGGATTACTCGAAAACGAGTGATCAGATCTTGCGGACCTCAATAGCTAAGTTGGTCTACGATTGTATTGAGTAAAAATAAATATCCGACCAGCAGTGGGCGCACAATAAATAAATAAATTTGTGAATATTTTTAATTATTTTATAAAATATTTATTATAATAATTTTGAATGAAATTAAAAATATATTACATAAAATAATTACTATAATAAATATTAATATTATACTATATTATATACTATTATAAATAATAATTACTATTTTAATTTTTATTATTTAGTTTTATGTTATAATATAATTTTATTATAAATTTCGGTAATTAGTTTAATCAGTTTTCTGTTCAAAATATTATTATTGTATTGCGACCGCAGTTAAGGCAGTCCCTAAATATCATAGTTTTGTTAGTTATATAAAACAATTTGGATTTAGAAATAAGTTTAATTAATTGTTAAGCTATTGGTTATCATTTAATTGTAATTCTTGGTCATCAAAGACGCTATCATTACTATCAATCAATACGTTTGTTGTCTCAGTTGTTATATTAGTCTTAGTATTGATACCACTGTTGAGTGTTTCACTTGTATTGTTTCATTGGGTTTTAAGCTCCGGTATATTGTTATCATTAACCAACTCTTTGATAACCAATCGTATTGAATGTACTTTAGATTTTTGATCATTAGTTATGTCTCGATTGCTACACATTTAGAGTTAATCATATATAGTATTAATATATAAATTATATATAAGTATACAAACGATATAATCGCAAAAATGAGTCTTAAATCAGGCGCTAATTGCTATTCATTGCGAATACTTTTTGAACCTAATATTATATGACTTGTTGTAGATTTTTTTGATATATATTTTGCTACAAAGTATTAATTGTAAATCTGAATTTAAATTATAAATCTATAATACATTACAATATATAATACTATACAATAAATTATCTTTAATTTCATATCTTAATCACAATTTTTGGTCAAACACTTCCAGAGTTATAAGATATCAAAGTATTGATATCACGCGTTAACCAATAATTGATTAACAGATTTTATATTAAATGTTAGTTTTTTTAAAAAATKAATGTAAAAAGTATTGCGTTTAATAATTGCCATTCATTTGTTAAGACTAATGTCTTCACCAATTTCTCAATTGTATTCACTGATAACTAATTGCATAAATGAAAACAAATTAAACATTACGGAGACCTTTAATTTTTTATAATTTACACTAATTATAGATTTGTTATCATAAGTTAGTAAATGATTTTTTATTAAAAGATTTTTGTAAAGTTTAGATATATCTATAGTTTGTAGTTGACTATAGTCTCGCTTTTTACGATTGGATGGAAATTTTTTATGACATTTTTGTTTTTATACCGATCTGTCTGTCTGTATGTGTGTTTCGGGTGAAAACAAATTTAAGAATTAGTGGTCACAACAAAAACTATAATTTGAATGACAGTAATATGTAAATGACTAGTCGTTGAAACAATTTTTTTAAATTTCATTTTTTTTGTTTATTATAATTATTCTAAACTTATAATTTTTGATATCTATTGTAATCTTTAATTTATCTTTGATACACAATAATCAGTTAAGTCTCATATATTATTAATGCAATTAATTTACATTTACTGTATTGTATAGTATTTTTTTAAATTTACTATTTATTTATTTTTGTAACGCAAACTCAATGTTTAGTATTATACAGAATATATAAGTTATATATATATACTGTATATACAATACATATATAAATGTTAGTACAGAACTCAGATGTCACCCAACAGTGGTTATCACTGATAAAATTACGGAATATTCTGTAGATTTTTATACAGTAGTAGTAGTAGTAGTAGTATATATATATATATATAGTATTTATTATATTAAATTTCAACTTCTTATTATATACTAAACTATAATAACAATTAATGTCATAAACAACAACAATATGATTTATATTTAGTTTGCCTATTATGACATGATTTTAGTAAATTTAGTTTACAAAACATAACTATAGTATTATTATTATTATTATTATTAAGTAAAATTAATCGTTAATATTAGTTAAACAAACAATGATATTCATGTTAATAATGATACTCTTTTTTTGATGTCTAATATAACTATTTATTTTATTATCTAATTATTTAGTTGAGTTGAACTAAATTAMTGACAAGTTATTTGATATTTGAGAGAAATTTTAGTCCTCTTATCTAATGATAAATATCTATTAAAATAAATAGTGTAAACATAGTATACATTGTGGAGTATATAATATTATATAAAAAAACATATTATTTCAAATGATAAGGTTAAAATAAATTGATTGCCATATTATTATTATTAAAGTTACTTAAAATTGATTTTATCTGATTTTCAAAATTTATTATAATTATTAATAAATATTGTTATTGAAAAGTACACTTTAAATTGTATATAATATTATATAATTAATCATTAAGTTTTTAGACTATTGTAGATCTAAATTTTAAAAATAAAATTTTGCTTCAATTATAATATGAAAATAAAATGACTACAAACTATATAAAAATTTTAATATTGTCACATATTTTCAAGTAAAACAATTTTTAAAAAATTGTATTTATTTAATATTTTCGTTTATTTTGTATTTAGCAAACTATTTTTTCTTTGTTAAATAATGTTTTAATTAAWTTATATGCAAATTGCTTAAAATAAAACAATTTATAATAATTGAATACAATTAGTGCCTACACTATAGATTACACATTACTAAGTTATGTAGTAAAATAAATATAAATTGTACAAATTAATTGTATTATAATAATAATATATAAGCATTTTTAAATATATATATATATATATATAATGATTGAACAAATATGAATAACTAAATATAACCACAAAAAACATATATAATAATGATGACGATAAATGGTAAAGTATTTTTGATGAAATAAATGTTTACATACTATTTAGATATTTATAAATATAATTGTCAATAATATTATAATGTATTGACCATTAATGCATTATTTATTTTATTTATTCAATATTATATTTTTATGAATGAATCTATAATAAAAGTGGTATATTAAGTATGAATATATAACGGTACTGTACGTAATATGATGTATTAATAGTAAATTAATGTTTTGTAATTATTTTTAGTAAAATAATATTAATTTGTAAAGTTTATTTAATTAAACTTAATTTTTATTAAAGTAAGATTAATTTTGATTAGAATTACAATATACTGTATTTGTGTTATATGTATATATAAATATTCATGAATATAAAATTACCAAAGGGTTATATATGCCATTACACACACACACACACACACTCACTCACTCACTCACTCACTCACTCACTCACACAAACACACATAAAATCTAAGTAATTTAGACGCTTAAGAGCTAACACTTCAAACACATGTTTTAGTGAAAGAATTTCCAGAAATAAATCTTATATTTTATTTATCGATTTTTGTTGTCATATGAATTGTTTGGTTGCAAATATCAATACTCAGTTAGTATACGAGTGATGATAAAGTATTGACTTTGGCTTTTAGTGCAAACATGCAGTCAATAAAGTTTTTACGCGGATTATATCAATAAAGATATTTGAAAAATATGTACAATTTTGATGGTATAGTACAGTAGTGTAGTAGTAGTAGTAGTACTGTACTATGTTTTGGAAACTACAGTATATATTATATTTTTTATATATCATATCATATAATATATATTATATATAATGTAATGGGAAATAGTTGGACCAAAAATATGATGCTTTTTATTGACAAATTACATAATAGACTCAAAAAGTACTTTAAAGCTTATAAGAGAAAAAAAAAGAAGTTTTTCTTACTTTACAATACAATACATATAATTATATTCCTATTGAATGTTCAATGGTTTAAATAAATATTATCTATTGAGCAAAAAATCTTTTTTGTTGGTTTGTATATAAAATACTTGATAGATATTTATTTTGATGAAACAAAAATACAAATTAATAATTATTTTTTTAATAAGCAGTTTATTATTTGACAGTTAAATATATTCTTATTTATTTTATAGATAATAAGTTTGCAGTTTTTATATAATAATAATAATGATAATAACAAATAACTTTAAATTACAATATACATTAATAATATATTACTACAAATAATAATAATAATAACTAGAATTTAATAATTTTTTGTGTGATATACTGTACTTCACATTAAATTAATAATTATATATTTTTTTAAAATTATTTTTTTTGTTTAGTAATAAATCAGTTTAAAAGAGAGTTAAAATTATTTTTGTTGTTGAATGTTTTTTTTAAATATATATATTTTTTCAATGATAAATATTATTGATATTATCGACAACTCTAGCGTATGGTTTGTCTCTATAGAGGAGCCCTTTATTGTTATGACGAGAGGATAACTTAAAAGTCGATTTCTGATCCCAGCCTATAATATAGAGTAATAGGAGATATAATAATAAGTCAATTAAATTCAATATTTAGTTTAGTTTTTAGTGTCTTTTATATATATAATAAAAATTATATTATATATCAAATGACAGATTTATTATTATTTTTGTTTTTTCCTATAATAAAGACCTACAATGACTGAGATCTGAATGATTTTCTCCGTTCATATTATAAGGCAAACAATCGCTATTAGAAAAGCCATTTGTTGTTGTCGTCGTGTTGTTGTTGCTGTTGTTGTTGTGAGGTATGACCAGATGTGATGCAGCCGTCACACCAGCACCGGTACTATCGTTAAGATGAATGTTATGGTCGTCGTCTCGGTGTGAATGGTGATGTTGATGTAGAAGCGCTTCTCCGATGCCATCATTAAGTCTTATTTTGTAAATATATATGCGTAGAAAAGCAATTGTTTGTATAATCAATTCATTGATTTTTTTATATATTATATATTTAGGTTTTTTATTTTGTGTGCAAATATATAGTGAAATCAGAGTAAATTTATTGATACAATATTTGCTACAATAAACACTGTTTCTACTCTATATATATATATATATATATATATATATATATATATATATATATATATATATATATATATATATATATATATATATATATAKATTGTGAAACAACTACTACTCTCAAAATAGTACCTCATTTTAGTGATTGGCTTCTTATCGATGTTTAGTACTCCCAGTTCTCTTAGTTGCTGTTGGCGTATGTCATCGTAATAATCCTTTAGATAAATATTTTTAATTAAATTTAATTAATTAAAACACTTTTTAAAAAAATTATATACAATATATACGGTATATTAATATTTTAATATTTTAAGACAACAAACCGGTACTAGAAATCGTTTGACTTCTTGAAGAGCGTTTCCCATTCGTACGTAAGCTTCAGGTGCCGGTGCAAAGGTGGTGACCTCAACGTGAAGATCTTCATTTAAATGGTTATATTTTGGATCTCCTGTTTTTCGCAAATCTTCTTCCTGAAGAAGAATATTTATTTTGTTTGTTTGTTTCCGAGACATTTGTATCGAGAATTTTATAATCATTATAATAACAAATGATTTTTGAAATTATATAATGATTTTTTTAGTGCCTAACCTTTTGTTTGTCTCTCATGGATCCTCTGCCAAGTATTGCCATTTTAGTTTGTGTCTGATCCTGGAGCCACTTCAGGGAATTCCCTTTGGGACCCAATAGTTTGCCCACAAAATTAAACTATAATTAAAAGCAAGAATTACAATGTGTGGTGTAATATCTCTTATACACTGTATATACAGTATTGATATGATGTGAGTTAGTGAGTGTGTGTGTGTGTGTGTAATGATATATATATATATAATAAATGAGTTTTTGGTAGATTCTTATGAGATAGGGCTGTCCATAGAGATAGACATATTGCACTAATAAATAGCACATAAGTGTGTATATAGATTAGTACTTGTATTAGATAATATGAATCATATATACTATTAAAAAAAACTATCATTGAATGATAATAATAAATCATACATTGGGATGGTCGTTTACGGGCACCATTACTTTGACCTGTAGTCTCACTGGCTTTCCTTTATGTACATCAAGTATTATGGGTCCAGTAGTCGATTGTGTAGTTGACACACCATTTCCATCATAAAAGGATGTATTAATTAAATCGTGATTGTCTTTGGGACTATTGCTCTCAGAGGACTCGTGAGGCATATCTTTTTAGTTTATTTTATTTGTTTTGTTTTTTTGTTGTATTGTTTTGTTGTCAGATCTTTGAACACACAACTGATCTTTTCCAGTGATTATCTCATCGACACTCACTTTACAATCGATTTCAATGGTATATATATTTTTGTTGTTGTCGTTCGTCTTCTTCCTCTTCTTCTACTTCTTCGTTAACTATATATATAAACTGATTTTTGTCTTATTTTTCCAGTTTGTGTTGACTTTCTTTCTCTCTTTCTTTCTCTCTGTTCAATAGTAAAGACAACAAAACATAATTAACACAACTATTGACTCCGGTTTTCAGTTATATACATATATATAATATAATAAAAGACAAACTCTTCTTTTCTTTAGTGAATTAAGTTCAAGACTTAGAGATTCAAAGACTTAAGACACCATTTCTGTCGATTTTTAATTAAATTAAAACTACTGCACACATGTATGTGACTATCAATTTTGACAAAAACACAAACTAAACTAAACTATTGGTTTCATTTAACAAACTACTGTATTATCATTATATTGATATAACTTAAACATTACTTACTATACTGTATATACAATATATATATATATTATACAAACAACTATATCTTAAACTAAATTAACTCAGTATTGAATTATTTCAACAAAATAATAAATTGTATATACTATTAATAATAATGTTATAAAACATATGTATTTTGAAACACATAAAAAATAATCAAACCGTGTATTCTCTGCTTAAAATAAAGTTCATAATTTAATTATAATTTTTTTGTTGAAAAAATCTAATTATAACTGAATATTTAAATAACAAGTCATTCATGTCATTCATATATAATTTTCACGATTTATTTAGTAAGTAATCAAATGAATAGTTAGTTTGTATTTTATTAAAAACTCATCGTTAATCCGATAAAATTGCTGGGAGTGAGACAACAAATAAATACTACTATTATATAAATTTATATTTTACTAGTTTACTACTAATTAGTTTATTTGTTATATATATATATATATATTTACTAATTAAATTCACAACTGATAATTAGCTGTTAATCATTGTTACTAAAATGTATGGAAACATTTGTATTTTTACTTTATATATTAATTACACATCAAATTCTATATCAAATTGCAAGTAATATACAATATATCAATAAAATGATAATTTTATTTTATACTGTATATAGTATTACTATAAAGTTTGATAATTTATTAATAATATTATTAGAATTTTCGCAACAAAATATTCAAAAACAAAAATAGTCTAATAATTTAAATAAAGTTTAATAAATAAAATTTTAAATAAAATTTCAATGAATTTCAATAAATATTAATATTAGATACAGTATATATAACATTATATAGATAATTGAAAAAATTTGTAATTATAATGTAATAATAACAAAATATACATAAAATTATTCAAAATTTAATATACAAATAATGTATTATACAGTATATAAAGCCAATTGTAATAAAAAAACAGGATTTGATTTTCTACTACAGTATTGTCTATTTTGCATATAATAATTATTTTTTGTTTTCATATAAATCCCTTTACATTTCAATGATAATAAGGTAACAAAACAATTGCTATTTAAATCAATACTACTGTCAATATACTAAACTAAAAGTATATAAATTTTAAATTGTATATCAAATAATGTTTGTAAATTATAATTAGATTCTGTAATAAAAATATTTTATACCTATTAAAAAATTTTTATATCATGCAGTAACTAATATTAAATATAAAAATATTTTTTTATTTATCTATTTATCTATTTATTACAGTATATACAAGTAATATTACACTAAAATATTGAATTAAATTATTTATTTGTATTGATGATTATAATGATGATTATACTGTACAATCAGATAAACTTTTGAATTATTATTACTATGTTATTATAATTATTATAATAAAAATATTATGTTGTTAACATTACTAATACTGTATTTGTATTATATATTTATAACTAAAATAATCACTACCAGAATTTTTCAATATTTATTTTTCAAATGTATTTTTGATTACACATTCAAAAATCGTTTATTTAATCTACATATTAAATATTGGAAAAGAAATTAATGATTTGAATTCACATTTTAATTAAATATATTTTTGTTATCCACACACACACACACACACACACACACATAGCGTTTAAGTAAATAATCTTTAAGATATTTAATAATAATAATAACAAAAAAAAGTTATTTTCGTGTTCAACAAATTTTAACAGTAAATTTATAAACAAAATTTTTCTGCATATTATTATTATTATTATACATTCATATGCAACATAAAAATTGTTTATATTAACAAACACTTTACGGGATACTGGAAATACTGTACATAGTTTATACCGCTCTATACAAATAATAAACATATGATATATTGGACAATATATCAGTACAACTACTGTATATTATTTATTATTATTATTAAAAATATTAATATGAAAAATTTATTATGAAAAATTTATGGGCCCATTTGGCTATAATTCATATCACTTTATATATATATTTATAATCGCTGTCATGGCAATGTTAATATTAGCTAAATAGGTTTAATTTGAAATAATTTTAATTATTCTCTATTATATAATATTACAAAATATAATTATATAGAATAACTTTATTATAGCAACAAAAAAATATTCAATTATTAAATCACCTAAAAAAATAAATGCTTATATAATTATTGATTTGCTATAAAAAATTAATGTTTTCAATTTTGACAATTTATAAGATAGAGAATTTATATCATTTATATATCTATAATATTATATAATATATGTCATAAATATATATCACATATCCATATGTATGTATGTTTTTTATAAAAGCAAACACAAAAAATAAATAAATATAAAATAAATAAATATAATAAATGGTTAGCCAGTTATATATACTGTATAATATTATAATAGATTGAGTGTATAAATAAGTAATTTATTTGTTATACTTTTTTTTATTCAAACTTATTCTGTACCAAACATACATACCTTATCTATTTATGTACACATTATATTGTGATACATACAGTACTGTATATAATATCCAATTCAACCATTCATTATATTTATGATATTACTCTGCAGACTATTATAATAGTTATTATTATTAAATAATTTGAAAATATAAATACAATATAATACTGTGGGTACAATATATATATATACTATATATATATATATACAGTAAAGTAAATTATTATATATGATATTAGTGTTTAAAATTATTTGAATTTTATTCATTTATTCAGTTAAGCTTAATTTATTGAATTTTTCAAAATTATTTTTTAAAAAATTATTTATATTTTATCATAATCAAATATATAAGCATAATGTTATTTTTTTACATAAATACTATAATCATAAATTATACATAACATTACCTACAAACAAAACAAACAAACAAAACAAATTGTAAATTACATTTAGTCGAAATAATTGATGTAAAAATATTATTAATATATATTTTCTAATTTGAATAGTTTTTGGACCTCTCTCTCTCTCTCTCTCTCTCTCTCTCTCTCAAAACATATTATCAATAGTAATACTGTTTATACTAATACATCATCAGTACTGATGCCATGTGTCTTATATTTATACATCACCGGCTTCTCCATTGAAGCCAATCCTTTATTGGTGTCTCAAAAGATTTGCTTCAATACATGAAAAAGCTAACGTTTATACATACAGTCACACACACACACACAGAGAAAGAGAGAGAGAGAGAGAGAGAGAGAGAGAGAGAGAGAGAGAGAGAGAGAGAGAGAGAGAGAGAGAGAGAGAGAGAGAGATAGTAAGGTATAAACCTTTAAAAACAATATGAATGAGTGAGAAAACGTGTATTCTTGAGGTAATGTTATGTGAAAATTAATAAAAAACAGACACTTTTACAGCCGCTATATTGTGTGAAAGCCATTTACTACACTACACTACACATTGTTTTTGACATTTGTATTAATAGGTTTAATATAATATATAAAAATCACAACTATTTTTCTTGTTGTTGTCGTCGCTGTTATTATTGTTAACTTATAAAAACAATAGAAAATAGTGTTAGCTTTTATTTTGATAAAAACGTGTTAAAAGCATACCATATATATATATTAATATATTGTTTGTGTCATATATTTAATAAAAAATTACATACAATTTTATGCTATGTATTAGCAAAATGATAGTTTATATATGTTATGAATTGAAATCGCAAAAAAATGAATTCACGATAAATTGCATTCACTTATATTCTCTACTATATAATAAAATATAATATAATATACAGTATATATAATATTAAAAAAATGTTTATAGTATTGTGAGATCGTTAGCTACATTAATAGCCAAAAATACATTACAGTATATAATACTAATAAATGTATTAATATATATTTTTTTACAATTTATGCTAACTATTCCGTACACGCATTGAGAAAAATGCAAACAATTAAAAGCATGAAAAAGCATATTAAATATTAAGAGAGAGAGAGAAAAAAAAAATAAAAATGCCATATATTTTATTAAAAAATATTTTGGTCTTAAAAATATGTTTATAGCTTTTAAATTGAATTATTCAAAAAATAAATAAAAATTAAATAAATGAGATATAATAAATGTGCATATTAAATATTAATAATAATAATAATAAAACTGTACATTTAATGTTTTTATAATGTGCTTTGAATATACTGRATTATATTGTAGAATCTCTAAACTATTATAACATTTAATTTGTCAAAATATAAATATATCATATTATTAATTTAATTTAAGTCATAAATAGTTATGATGATGATTGACTTATTCTTAATTAAATTTATTACTTATTAGTAAACAGTATTTAATATCATTAATATAATATAATGCCAATTGCATTATATAATAAAAATATATACCGTATATATTTATATATAAATATCGTGTAACCAATTTCTATAACAATTAAATACAATAAACATACTTTACTACATGTAATAATAAATAAAATTAATTTTATTAAACAGTATATGCGTACATACTTTATTTTAATTAAATTTATTGCAAATTAACTATTTTCTAAAAATATTACTATAACTAGCTTTTATAATAATGTAGATTAAAAAATTATAAATTATTATCACAAATATCTTTATATCAAAAAAATGATAATATTAGATATTAATAAAATTGCAAAAATTAACAAAAYAATATTATTATTGATAAACACGTAATATACAATATATATATATGCAAAAAAAACCAAGTAAATTAAATATCTACATAAATTAAGCTTGATAATTAATCAAACACACACACACACACACACACACACACATACATACAAACACAGATAGAAATGTCACCAAATAAACATTTAGTGTCACAAATTGCAAAAACAGATTATTTATATATATTTATATATTAATATCGTTAAAATCAAGAGATCATTAAGTTTTTTTTGTGTCCACACATTATTAAAGGTACGATATTTACAATAGACGCACACACACACACATATATATATATATATATATATATATATATATACAATGCTATTG